AACTCAGAATGGCTGGTGTGTGTCAAGTTTACGGTGTAAGTCATCGCATCGGCGAGACACCCGAGGAACTGGCACTGACACCGGGATCGGCCAAGATGGAGTAAATGTGGGTTCATAACGAGATAGTACATTCGCATGGCCTTCAGTACCGTGTTGGAGCGGCATTTCCCATCAAATGCATTGTCCCTGTTTGTTGGGGGTTGGTAGTAGCCCAGATGCTCGAGGACATACGCAAAGGCCTCGACTCAAGTCAACCAAGAGCTTGCTGGAAAGTCATGTCCCTGGTAAACGACTCAACTCGGCGGTGGGCGGAGTACACCGAGTAAGGTGTAGTGCCTGGGTTTTGTACCTACTGCAGGACAGCTTTAGCATTCGGTGCCACGTAGATGCGCTCAGAGAGCAAGACAACAGGGGCGTGGAAGCAGAAAAGAGCGACCAGACGTGGCGAAACAGGGCGAGAGGGGAGAGAGGAGACAAGTCCAACAGGAATGGTGTGGCAAGGTACGTATCCGCACTGAGAGTTGCAGTACGGATTGTGCGTAACTGTACATAGCACCTAGGACAGTCCTAGGTGCTGTGTCGGTTCGGATAACGCTTGAGGATAGGTGTAGGAAAATCCTCGGGCTGCTACTGCGACCCTCAGGTCCGACAAAGTACATATGACGGCGTAGCGCGGGCGCAAGGGCCAGGGCGGGGAAATTGGAGGTGATAAACTACTAAGAGATACTTGTAGGACTTTGTGAAGACATCCCTGGGTGAAGTGGAGCTGTCTACCTTGGCTTAGCATAGCGTTCCTGATCGTGCCAAGCCTCGCTGTAAGAATCAGGAGTCTGGATTGAAAGTCGGGCGAGATTAGGCCGAGAGTAATATATTGTTCTTGAAGATGGCATAGATGTCAAGTTGCCTTGTACGTAAAATGATTGTAACTTGGACAGATTTGACAGTCGACACTATTCCCTATTCTCAACTCAAACAAAAGTGTGGGTAGTGTGAGTGGACAGCATCAATCTGTGGGAATGGATCTCCAAGGAGCCACTGGATCTGCCCAAAACGCAAGCCACAAAGCGGCAGAGAGACAAAGAGTATGTAGGAAAAAGAAAGGAAAGTCAGCCAAGAAGGCATAAAAAGCATTTTCAAAAGGTGATCACAATGCGGGAGGGTTCTTAAGACTTGAGTACTGTCCAGTACTCCTCCGTACTGGCGAACGGACAGAGACGGCATAGGTGGGTGATTCAGGTGAATCCCCTGCGTTCATAGGCGCGCACATACGGGATAAACGGAGTGTCTTGCCGTCTTCTCCTGACGCCAGACCAACCTGATGATTGGCAACCTCGAAGAGGAACGGTTGGGCCAAGCTCATGTCAGTCGGGTCTTTGTTCAAATAACCTCAGTAGCCAAGGCTGCAACGTGTTGAAGCGTATGCAAGGCTTAGAGGACCTCGTCACCATCTGAATAGTCTCGCTACTGTCTGTGCCAGTTCAGCATGGGCAGCCAAGTCGACTCTCACCCACTCGATATTGCTAAGCCATCCTGGGCATGTGTCAGAGTTGTGAGGCGTGGAAACGAACTCTTGAAGTTGAGTTATCATTGTCAGCCACAAACGAGCAAGGGCGGTTATTGACAGCCCAGGCACATGTAAAACGGGACAAAGTCAGGAGGATTCGATCGGTTGCAAACTTTGTGATGATTCATCTCAGCTATCATGGCGGCAGCCGAGTTCACTGCCACGTTGATACTGTCTCCAGTGCAACCGTAAGTAAGAAGTTATCCAATACAATAGAGATGTTTACAAAGCCTTGAAGGAAAAGTTCAACAAGCAAGTCAGTCCCTGGATGTTGACCATCTCCCCAGCGCCAGGAGACTCTCCACGGCTCCTACCCGAACGTACCATCTAAGTACCGCCTGGTATATGCGGGGGCAGCTCTCGCCCCCCATGGGGACGGGTTTGGAGACCACGGGTGACCAGACCTGCCCACCCTCCCCTGCAACCAGAATTTTTTAGTTCCCTTCCGAGCCAATCACAAGAGCTCTCGCAGACTTCAAGGCAGGCTATCTGGTTACGGCAGGTCTATCCTTGGTGGTTTTGAGATTCTAGCCCAGTTTCTGTTCCTAGGCCGATACACACAGCATGACGACGCTGTAAATTTCAAGGTCGAAATTCGGCGGAAAATCGCGATTCCCGCCGCCGACTTAGACAATTGACCATACAGTTTTTGGCACTGGGAGAGGTTGATAGTTGATCGAGCGCATATAGTCGGTCCGTCAACTACCTTAGTACGTGAATCCTCAACAGTTATGTTCCAAGTCTAGCTTAATTCTACACAATCCTGGGGATATCTGATGAAATAACTCGATATCGGAGTTGACTCGGCCAATATTCTACACAGAGGGAGGTGTCAATGTTTTACAGGCTCTATGGTCTAAGCTACCGGCCTTACTTGCCTTCACCATACGCAACCGGAAGGTACTATGCATTTACCTTGATAACTATTTCCTCAAGGCGCCTTCCTTATCTGAAGTATTTCGTTTCACTTACACGTGATAGGGTTCTCCATGTTCAGCTTACACCTCGCAAAATTTACTTTCCACTGACACTGACAACCTCTTCAACTCTCGTGTGTACATTTCAACGTAGCGTGTCCAATCAAAGCCATGCATCTTTTCCTCCTCACTGCCGCCTCTCGCGCCGTTACTTTGGAGATCAAAGACGCTACGAGAAAACGTTACGGAAAGAAAATCACTTCTGGTTCAGGGTGGGAAGCGGAGACAGGGCTGATGCGGAGCAAAGGAACTTGAGCAACATCAGATCAGCCCTCTGGCCCTCTCTAAGCACACTGTTTTTACCAGGACGATCGAATGCTCAATACTATCAACAAAATCTTGCTGTTTCACTAACACATAATTGCAGTCTCTGCATGATGGATCACGCCAGACTGTAAAAAGGGCAGAAACTTAGACTTCAACAGCAACAAAACTTACTGCAACACCTCAGTTACCGCCAAACTCTGATCTTTATGTTCGAGTTTCTGTAGATCTACAACACACACACTTGGATATCCGGAATCCAAAGTATGTAAGGTAGTTGCCCACCCTATTGCGCAATGACTAAGACAGCCCGACTGCATTGCAAGCGAGAAAGGAAATTCCCAACTCTTCCCATATTCCCCCTCCCCCGTCGGCTCCGCTTCCGCCCTAAACCTGCCTTTGCATAGTTACAACAGACCTACAACACCCCCAAGAATGTGGTGATCAGCCTACAGTCAAGGTCCAGGGTCCCTGCTAAAGGTCGACGTGTTTAGTGTCTCCTCTTGCACTTTGTTGAGTCAGAAATACAATGCTATACCCCCATTGGTTGTTCAACGTCAACCAGCCTTGCGTTTTCTGTCAGTTAGCACCAGCTTGGATAGCCATGTCTCGCATGTCTAGGGACAATAGAATCACCGAGTTAGAGAGCGGAACCGATTTCGCTTCTCCTCGGATGCGCTTAAATCGTCCCTTTTGGAATTATTCCGGGTTCATTTGCCAAGTACGGATACACAGTATAGGTTCGGTAGGTGGTTTTGGTATTTGCTAATAGTAACTAATATGTAGTGGAGGTTTTCAGATCAGACAAGCGAGTGCTGGGATCTGTGGAGGTGCGGGGATGGATTGATGGTCGGTGCGTGTGGGGTAGTCTTGATTCTGGATCTCGCACCCAGGCCCAGGCTCAGAAGACCTGACCATGCTCATCTGTTCATCAAGCTCAACTGGAGTCAGTCGTTTACCAACATGGGCCACTGGGCCTCTCTGCATTGGAACTTGAGCTCATGGAGACTCAGGGCTCACTCTGCCATGCAACCTGGGCACCCTAGGCACCATGGATACTGTCTACCCCCATCATCATGCAAGTATTCGGTCTGCGCTCTGGCCCCTGGAGGTGCAGACCGCTAGAGTAGGTAGATGATTGATAATGGCACTCAAACTGTCGTTGGCTTGTTGTTACCCCCGCGTTATAGACATGAGGCTTCATTTCCCCGTGGGGTTGACCCTTCGCTACACACCGCGTATGAGCCGAGCCCACCCTTTTCATTCCGCCGGGATGTTACCGAGTTCAAGAAAAGAAAGTTTGATGATAAGGCTACGGTGCAGTATACTAACTTGTCACTTATTGAGTAGGTTCAAGTCTATTTAAACGCCTGTGTACCTGACTCGCCGGATTCAATGATAGTTACATCATTCCAGGACCACTCGTCAACTCGAGTCGGCTCAACACTTTGAGCTCCTTGATCCGACTGAGCTTTCGAATCCGGGGTCCCCAAACGATTTCCACGAGGTGGCAGCCACTTCGATCCGGGTGCAAATGCGGGGTTGAGCAACAGCCTATGAATACCGTATCTGTATTGGGAGCCGTAACTTAGGGATCATCGGGAGGTCGGTGTTCATTCCGGATAATATCGTGATAACCTCGGCCGTGTCAAGGCAGAGTTACTCAGATCTGCTTCCTCTGCTGTCGTATCGCAGTGTTACAGAGCAACACTGAAAAGGAGCTGAGATATCATCAAGACTTGTTGATAGTGATAATACGGGCAATGGTTCGAACAGTGTCTGACCAGAGACGTTCCAGCTCGTGTCTGCTGCTGCCGGCACGAGGCCCATGGCTTGCTTGGTGCTAGGTCCCCAGTGTGCAAATTGACTTGAGACCTTTGATCCAGGGACGAAAATAACTAGCTAAAGAGCCTGCTCAGTTCATACTAAACTATACTAAACTTTTCTAGGCATTTTTATTGCTTAGGATTAAGTCCTTAAGTCCCCTTCCCAGTTTCTCTTGTATGCCCTTGTCAGTAGATCTTCAGTATTAGATGGAGAATTGTAGTTCATCATGTCTGGTTCAATATCACCCTGCTGCTTTTGGCTTCCTCAATTTATTACAGAATGCGCCCTCCTTGGCGCCCTGGGACATTGATATACTCGGCCACCAAGCCATATGACATCAAAGGGTGCCAGTGCCAGTCTCGCTCTCCTCAGCCTTGAAGTGAGTAACCAACTTGACCGCTCTCACCGCCAAGCTGGATTAGATGCTGTCTCATGCCGTCGGCCCTTCGCCTGTCTTCCTCCGGGAGCGAGTCGAAAGCACATTTGTCAACCCAGCTACCAATTCCATGCTGTAGAACGTTCCTCGCTCGAAGAGTGCTTCCCTGTACATGGCCAACAGAGCCGTGTAGTGTCATTCGCTCCTTGCTGCCGCTGTAAGCCCCGCGGTGCAGAATATTATTGTTATAAAAGACAATATCACCGGGCTGCAGCTTGACGATGAGCTGGTCTGGCAGGGACTTAGCAAAGGGATCTGCGTTTCGCTCAGTCGAGGTCCTAGCGCGCTTGTGCGAGCCAGGCACCACGATGAGAGAATCATCTTCCCATAGAGCGAAGTTATACTGAGCATGGTAGGCATGCTTGCCAAGACGCTCCATCTCCTCGTCCTCGCTAGCCTCAGCGGGGATATCATCACGATGCCACCTTAACTCAAAATCCCTTTCTGGCCTGACAAGCATGTTGAACAGTTCCATCACGAGATGCTCGTCTTGGCATTGCAGCAGCTGCTTCACAATGCCGAGGATGGCTTCAGAGAAGTACAACGCTGTGAATAGCTCATGACCTGGGAGATCGGGGTTCATGAGATGCTGGACACCCCATATTCCATGCTCACGTGCTTGGCTGGCATCCCATGGTGGGAATTGTTTCCCTACAGTCCGTACTGTAAACTATTAGGAGAATATTTATTTAAAGTAATAGTTAGGGATTATACCGTAAGGCCATTGCCCTTCACGAGCCAGCTGAGTAGCCTTTGAGCTAACCTCGCGGAGAGCATCGAGCTTATCCTTGCTCACGATTGACTTTATGACCACAAACCCATCCCTCTTGAGATCTTGGAGATACTGCGAGGTGGACATGATGTGATATGAAAATGCGGGTTTTGGTCCCTTGAACGAATTGCGGCTTACGGCGCGGCGCGGAAAGGTCTGGTATTGGTATTCTGCGGCTTGTGGACCGCCGGTAAAATAAGACAAAAATTCCGTTACAGTACCCCTCTTGAGCTACCTAACCTATGCAATAGTACTTGGAGATACAAGCAGCTGACAGGTCATCGGTCAAAAGGCTCTGTACCACAGGCAAGGATGGTCGAAGAGGTCGAAACGAAGCGAGACTTGGCGCGGATATTTACAGAAAGAGTTTCAGTTCCTTTTGCATGTCCAAAAGTGCTTCCTCTTGTGCTATTATGAGCCCTTTTAAGAATCGATGTGGGGAACGTACTCACTTACGGACGGCTCGTTGCATCTACTACAATGGAGCCTCATAAGGTCAAGTAACGTAGCAATTGGAGTACAGCATCGTGAGTAGTAAGAGTATCGACAGTCAGACATTCATTAGTCTTATGCATGTGCAAGTGCACGTGTAAGAGAATCCACAGTATCAGCTTTTGTTGTCATAATCGTCATTCATTAACCGATTGCCAATCATCTTTGTCCTTTACCTATCTATCCATCGCCATCGTAATGATCAACTACATGCCTCAGCAGACCACCTCACAGCATATCCCTTGACAGTCTTCTGCACATCCAAGTCACCAGGGTCATTCTCAAACAGTGGCTTGTCGAGTCTTCGCTCAGCAATCTGTTCCACCTCGAAGCCCTGATCGCGCGCAATATCAAAGAAACCCTCATCAAGCTCCTTCTTCCACGGTCGGTATGATGTGAAGAAGACATAGGCCACGCTCTCACGGGAAACCTTGAGGGTCTCCTTGATACTTTTGACCATGTTTCCGTGCTCACTGTGTCGGAAGAGAAGATCTGCCAGGATGAGAACATCAAAGCGGTCCTTGTGAGAGTCATCAGTTGGGCTCAGGCGAGTAAGCAGCGGGATAGGGTCAGCGCCCCAGACGAAGCCCACAGCATCGACAGTATTGGCGATTCGACCACGAGGCTCAACTGTTTCGTCACATTCGTCGATGTTCTTCTGCATGATTCTGACGATATCTGGGTCGGGGTAATCTGTAACCACGACCTTGCGCGCACCAAGAATAGCAGCCACAAGACTGGGCAGACCGGCCGCAGCACCGAGTTCCAGGACCGTCTTCTCACGTACTCGAGAAGGATCCTCCTCGAAGAAGTCGGAGATCATCTTGGCACCGTTCCAGAGATGGTGGGCTTCGGTAGGGCTGGCGCCAACAAGATGAAGCGTTATTGGCTTGCCGCTTTGCATGGTGAAGATCTGAGATGTAGGAGGGGGCGTAGGTGGGCAATAATCCTCTGGATCATCCATGAGGTCGCCAAATCCATAGTCTACCTCGCCAGACATTGTGTTCAGTGAAAAGTGCGGTCCAAGAGTGAGCGGTAGTAAGTCTGAAATGTGTGTTGGAGTAAGATTCCGGCGAATATGACTTTGGTGTGATTTTATGGGCGCAGTTTAAATACTTCGTTGTCTAAGGAAGAACTATTCTCGAAGCTCGTCTTCTTGCGTCTGGTCTCGGTGATAAGTTTGCACTGAGATCTGAGCCTCAGAGTCCAAGTCTCGCTTCTTCTGGTAGTCGAAGGTCGTGAAGAAGAGTTTTGATTCGAGTGGGCCAAGCTTCCAATTGGTGCGCTCCCACAGTGCGCCAAATATCCATCTGTCAACACCATCCCTCAATAAACCTACAATAGAAAACCAACGAATAAGGATAGCCAAGTAGTTCTTCCACCATCATAGCCTCGAAACTTCAGTGGAGGGAGGGAAATATAGGTGCGCATCTCCTCTATCCGAATCGCTGCCGTGCCAATTCCCTCAGCATGTTCACAGTCCCCTCTTCCCTTTCCCTCCATGCCCTCTTCTTCTCTTCCACCTCTTCCCTTTTAGCTCTATCGATCTCCTCTCTGCGAATTTCTCTCTCTGTTTTGCGCCGTTGCTCCCTCTCTTTGGCTTTCTTGTACTCGTCCAACGAGTCTCCGCCACCCATAAGCTCTCTTTCGTCTTTGACTTCCATAGCATCGGGGCTCTTGTCGCGGAACGAGCGCATTTTGTCCGCCACTGCCGCTCGCTTTTCCAGCATGCGCTCGCGGGTTCCAGCTTCAGCACGAGGGACCAAGTCTTCGAGCTGTTCTTTCTGCAGAGCCCGATCGGCTTTGCGCGCTTGACGTAGGTCCGCAATAGACGCTTGCTTGTCTTCTTCAACAAGTTCAGCTCGAAAAGATATATCTTGTAGTGTGGGAATGCCTGGTCCAGACCGCCGTGTGTGATCCGAACCTGGAAGTGTAGGGCCATAATCATCTTCATCGTCCTCGCTCTCACGATCTTCTCTGTCTTTCATAGTTTCTCGTACTTCATCCCGATGCACAGAAGCACGTCTTGCTTGAGGCGCAACTGAATTATTCGATGTAATTCGTGTAAAGGTCTCAGGGTCGTACCATCCTTCTGCCAGCTCCTTTCGGTTCCACTTCCCAATGAAGCTCTTCCATCGCCCTCTAATTTCATGATCATCCATCTCGGCGATATTCTTCTGCTTCTGAAGACTTAGATATTCACCAAACAATGGCTTGAAAGAAGACAGATCGGCCTTTGACAAGGGTCGCGCCATGAATGGTAGGTTAACCACAGCTTCAGGCTTGCGACTTGCATGATCCCGGGATTTATATGACGAATGATGGCGATGATGATTTTTGGGAGATGAGCGATGGCCGCTTGGCTCAGAGTGATGTCTCTCGTGTCGATAAGATGATGTTTTTGATCGTTTGTTATCAGGGGAACGTGATCGTGACCGTGAGCGCGTGTTTTTATATGAAGTGTCGCGGTCCTGGCTTCTCTTATAATTGTAGTCACGGTGCGGTGACCTTTCTCTAATCCGGTTACTGCGATCCATTTTGATGCCTTGAGGCTATGTCTGACTATTGCAAGCCCAGAAAATAAGCGATTAAGAATTGTCGTGATAAAATTAGAATGTCGATGAGATAAATCTGGTTCAAAGTATTTTAAGATGAGATTTTGAGGTCAAGGGATGACACAGTGCGCTCCGCTTTTCTTTAATGTCACTTTTAGGTTAGTAGTTTAAAGGAAACGCAATGCTTTTGCAGAACGATGAGACTAATGTGAACTTGGGAATCAAATATCATAGCGTGAAGGGGAGTATATCATATTTCTATGCACAATGTGTCAAGCTGCTTAATTCTTCTCGATCTCCCAGTGGTCTTCTTCGTCATTCCAAAACTTCAATGGGTATAATTGCAAACTAGCAAATCGCAGCCCTCGTCTCCCCCCTTACGTGGCAATTTCTTTGTCATCCGCAAGATACTGTATTGGGCGATTTTATAAGGTTGATCGACGAAACTCTCGTACCCCAAGAGGTGTTTTCTAGGCCTGGCCCTCTGCTTCCACCGCTGACTCAGAGTTGCCATGAATTACACAACCCAAACACTGACAATCATCTCCGCACGGACAACTTGCCTCCTCACCGGCACAAGAGTCTCCAAACGGGTAACTGACAAAGAAGAAATCATTCGCCGACAGTGCTTGCTCTTCACTGATGCCAGATGCTGCTTCAGAAGGAGTTTGTGGGGCGACTGGCGATACAGTGCCCTCAGTAGAGCCGATAGGAGGTACAGAAGCGGTGCTTGTGTTAACGCTGTGGCCATTTGTTGCTGGTGTTTCGCTATTTCCGTGCCCGTTCACATTGGTGTAACCGGTATCCATCATGCTCTGCCAAGCCGATCGAACATAGTTCTGCGTCGCTTCATTGTACGGATGGGCTGCGCAGCCTACACACTCGCACGAGGCACCACAGCTACACTGATGAGAAGTGCCTGTCGCCGAATGGGGAGTTTGAGGGGCAGTCGGGGCCGGGGCTGGGAACGGTGTCGCACCATGCATTCCGAAGGGTGAAGGCATGCCCCCTTGACCAGCAAAAGTCATTGCGGCCATTACTTGTCTCCATTGTTCCGGTTGAAGAGGCTGCAAGTATGAACCATACTGGGGTGGGTAGGTAAATACAGTGGGCTGAGGGTAGTAGGCGTACATGCCGTTAGGCATCATGATGGGTGTCGGGAAAGGCGACATCATCATGCTATTGGGCGTCGGTATATCGTTGGCCGACACGTTATCGTTCTTCTGGTCGGGTTTGGGGGAGTCATTGCTGGAAGAGCAACAACTCTTGGTCTTGGCTTTCGGTGGGCTCGGCACTGAAGGCATTGTAATTGGAACGGAAGCAATGTTATCGGGATTTCCTCCTCCGCAGCAAGAACCGGCTTTTGGTGCAGACTGAATTGGTTGTTCTAGAACCTGCGTGCTCGTCATTGAACCAGACTGACTGGCCATGGTCTCCTTTGAAGTGCCTGGGCTCATCATAGGGGGTGGTATATGTGGTTGGAACATTGGATACATGACGGGCCCAAAAGGGCTTTCTGTTGGGGTCATACCCATACTCCCGTAAGGAGACATGTCAGGAAGAGACGCGACGGGCTTTTGGGATATGTCATCAAACGAGGGCAAAATGTTGAGCATTTTGGGGTCCATTCGCTGGAAGGCCGATGGGTCAACAGATTCTCTTCTGCTTAAACTTCCGCCTTTCGAACTCGTTTTCTGTACTCGATATCCAGAACCTGGTGTTTTGCTAGCAGGACTCTGGGGTGTGGAGCTGCTTGTGCTATCACCGTTCTCAGGCTTTGGTGATTCGGTATCTTTGCTGGGTCCGCAATGGCATGCTTGTTTCTTTGGTATCGCAGCCGTGACTCTGCCGCAAGAACATGGGCGAGAAGCTGGATGAGGACATGTACTAAGAGGTCTACCCGGCTTCCTCACAGGTACCATTAGTCGCTCGTTTGCGTGTGTGCATTTAGTAGAGCGATGACCACGAATACAAGGCTCGCTACAAGTCCAGAGTCAGCAAAGTCTAACCAACAGACCGACGGCAGTTGATTGCGCCAAGATTAATCGTACCAGGCCATTTTTATTCCATTGATGAGAGGCATGGTGAGACTGTCGTCGGAACAGTATGTACGACGGATGACAGAGGTGGAGCAAGACGGATAGTGGTAGAGATGGTGGCCGGCTCACAGCCGTAACAGGTGCCTACAAATGCGCAAGTCTCGCGAGAGTCGACATGGGAGGAAGAATGTGTGGAAGAAGGGGCGTGGATTACTCGGCGACACTCGAAGACTCGGAGTTTGCGTCGCAAACGAGGGGATACAGAAGACGGGTTTCCAAAGTTCGCGGTGGCTGTACTATATGAAAGTGTCGTACTAGGACTCGAGGAAAATGGTAGATTATGGCCGACGAAAGTGACTGCTACAGAATGCGAGATTGGCGTGAAATGATATGTATCGTCGTCGTTGTTGTCGTGAAAGAAGAGGATGTAACAAAGCAAAACAGAGGATCTTGATCTAGACCCAAGACGAGAGATGGTTCATTATTCAGGGACCCGACCCAACCTTTCTCCTTCCCTTGTCAGCAGCCGGCGGACAACCTGCCTGCAAATGTTCGTCGCGCCCCCCACCATGCGGGGGCTGCAGCGGGCAAGAAACGCCCTAAAGAGCCCAAAGGGTGTCTACTCCCAGCAAGGCACTTGGTTGGCAAGATCACTGTGACGCTAACGACAGACTTGGCTCTCGGCTCTGGCGCGCATCTTTTTGGGTGTTCGGTGCCCGCTCAGCTAAGATCGGCTCGGAATAGTAGACGTTGAAAGTCATGCCATATTGAATATGGTTCCGTGATAAGATAAAATTATTCCGAGGACATGTTAATATGAGTATGAATGTAGTAGAGTATACCATCAGAACTTGGTGTTCTCCTGACGTTGTTGATTCAATATTCCCTCCAAGCCAAGTCCAAAATCATCCCCCCGGCTCAGGCCCGTTCCTCCAATTGAGCCGCCGCCGATACGGAGCAGCGTATAGCCGGAGACCCGGCGATTCCCTTCCGTGCAACGTCCGAAAGAGCATATTGACAGTCCAACGACTCGTCAAAATGAAACATGTTAGGGATATATATATATATATATATATATATATAAGTTTCGTTACTTCCCAGTAATAGCGAAATATCGCCCTTACCGCATTTCAATCATTCTCGTCACTTTTCTCTTCCCTCTCCACTATCCTGTGTCCGTATCCATCAGCCAACCCGGCCGAGTGAGCAAGTTTCCATTGGCTCAAAGGCCCCGGCCACCTTCAACACCAACACCACCATAAAGCTCAAGCGCTCAGCTTTCTCTTGTCGACTGCTTTACCTCATACGTATGAATTGCTTCCTCCATATCAATATCTGTGACGTAACATGGTTTGGACCATGACAAAGTTGACGGGAGTCAGAGTCACAGTCCATCCTAATAGCTTAGATGTATAGCTCATCACAAATTCATCTCCCAACGATAATGTTGCAATTATCAGCATGTGCTTTTCACATCTACGTTACATTGTGCCTCTGTTCTGGGCTCATCTCCCGTGAGATCCTCGTCTAGTGTCTGGTCTCATGTCATGCTCTGCACATCCTTGGCATTCCGGCCTTGATATTGGATCCAACTCAAGTGATCTTCAAGAATCCAGCGGTCGCACACAGGCTAGAGATCACATCCTACTCTTTGGTGCGCTTTGGTCTCACGCCGTTGGATGGCGCCATCTTGCAGACGGAACGGTACGTCTAATCCATTACAAATTGGTATCATTGAACTTCGCCTATCTCTATACGCCCTTGTCCGAGTCGTCTGAATCAGCAAACATATCCACTGCTCGCATCCGCCTTCGAGGCTGGCCGGCTTGAGGTGGTTCTTCTTGGGTCTTGTTCTCAGTGCCGATTGTAGGTTGATCTGTAGGTGCTGGTGGCAACTCATCCCCCACAGCCTCGTCTTCATCCATTGGTTCTCCAACCACATCGTCTTCGTCGATGGGCTCTCCCTCAATGTCATCCTCGTCAATAGGTTCTCCCTCGATATCCTCCTCTTCGATCGGCTCTCCAATCACATCATCCTCATCGATTGCCTCACCCTGAACGTCATCCTCCTCCTCCATGGTCGAAACTGGTAGCGCACGTAATTGTCCATCCTCCACCGTCTTCCACTTGCCCTTCTTCTCTTCGCTATCCTCTCTCTCGGCGGCAACCAGCGACGGCGGGCTCTCAAAGCTTCGAACAAATAGTTCCTGACTCTCAACAGGGAAGACGCACCACCCCTCCCAGAGATTCAGAACAAGGTGAATGCTACGCTTCCACTTCTCTGCACGTAGACGTCCCCACTTGAGTCGCTCCGCCATGAGGCCCAGTGTCTCGAACGTCTTCCGGTCTTTCAGTGATGTCTCGAACAGCTGCCGAAAACGCCAGGCGTGCCGCACGCCGCTTGTCGATGAAGACGACAGGATATCACTGACGACATACAATCCCACCAGGCTAGCACCACTAATATCAGGGCCCTCGTTACTTGGCGCCTCTTCGGGGGCGCCTGTTTGTAATTCTTTACTCTCGGACTTCTTGTCAGGGTTTGCGCCAGTAAGAGCAAATGGCTTCTCGACATTGAATGTGATCATCGCTACGACCTCGTCAACTCCTCGACTGGCATGGGTGATCGCAAAGCTCGTCACTCTCGCGACATCGCCCTTTCTTAACCTCGACATCGACGTCGGTAGTCGTGCAAGGAGATGCGTTAGCTTGGCTTTCTCCAGCGGGTTGAGGAACGCCTTTTCGGACTCGGCATCTGGATTTTCCCTTTTATTGTCGTCCTCAAAATCCTCCTCGTCCGAGGAGTTGTACTCTGAGTCCGACACGAATTCATCCAGCTTAGTCGTGTACTCAAACTTGAGGTTCTTCTCTGGGGCCTTCCATGCGTGCGAACCATCAAAAAGGGGAACATATTTTCCCGTTTGCCTTGATTGCTGTGAACCCGTAATTACCTCCCATAGTCTCCATCGATACCATATGCCGCCTTGACTTCTTGCATCCCATATCCATGCCCATTTTTCTTCCCTTTGGACCTCGGGCCGTGACATTAGCAGCGCCTCAAATTCTGGGCCATGCGCAAGAACTCCCTCGATAACCTTGCTAATTAGTTGAATAGTTTTTACATCCGTGGGCGGTTTGACTGGCACATGTAACAGGGCCGACCGATTAACGCCTGCACCAGGAGGTCCATAGGAAGTTGGGGGCGCAAATCTGCTATTGAATCCATGCTGCGTGTGCGGGTTCTGTGGTCCTGATGGTTGCTCAACAGGTTTCGCACCAAAGGGATGTGATGTTGCTGAAGAGCCAATATTTGGCAACGCAGCCGAACTCGCGACGGCTGACGAAAGATGGCGATGGAGAGATAGGTAATATCCATAACCTAGATATCGGTTCTGTAGCGCATTGACAGCCGCATCGATCTCGTTCGCGGGTGTCTCCTGGGATAATGTGACAATCGAAACGGCATGCTTTCTTTCCAAGTTCCCAGAGCTGCTCGAAGGTGTGATTTTGACATTCTCAACTGTCAGATTGTCCGGAATCAGGGCCTTGATCGTGGCTGGGGAAGTCCCTGGAGGAATGTTCGACAGTCGCAGCGTAGGTTTCGCTATAGCCTTCTCTTCTGCCCTATCCGTCACACCGACCATATCCTCATCATCACTGGTATTGAAAGCTCTCGCTGCTGGGATCGGCCCACCGCCACTGGCTCCCTCGTCATAGCCCAGGACTCCCTTATCCCGCGACGGCCGCGCAAAATCCTGGAAAGATCGCTTTTTAGCGAACGAGGATGGCGGAGGTCCCAAGCTTCCTGGTCCGCTCTTCAATCCCGATGTCCCAAAATGCCGTCTCCCTGGTCCCGAAGGTGGTGGCGGGCCTCCAAATCCATGTCGCGGGCGTGAGGGCCCTGAAGAGCTGGGTGCGCTGTGCCCATCGTAATCGTCATCGCGGTCGAAACTTTTGACGAATTCATTGTATACGGCGGCAGTTTCTGCTTCCTCTCGTAGTCGCTTGGCTTCAGCTTCTGCCTTTTGCTTCTCGAAAGCGGACTGCTTGGTCGGTTTTTGCAGCTTAGCTTCCAAGCTTGGGAATTCGGATACACCCTTTCCGGATGACATTTTTGGTTTCGGTTTGTAGTTTGTTTAGTCAGCGCATCTCTATTGTCGTACGCGAAGTGTGACCAGCATTTATTGAAATAGAGACTGTTGAAATAATGACTGAAGACAGTGTTGATTTGAGTTACGGTTAGCTGTCGCAATAGTCACGGCGCGTTCCCAAAAGCTCCAGTTGAGTGGGCCTCGTCACTGTAAGCCTTATCGCTTACCGTGTGCTAGTTTTAATAGGGTATAACGCAATTCGGTAATTCGAGGTCGACTACCCTATGGTTGATAAGTGAATTGCAACTTTCAGCACGCATTGTGGTTTGGAACTGAAAACATTTGCTTGATATGACCAATAAGGCCAGGAGAAGCTTGATGATGGGGTTTTATCAATAGCAATCCCTCGTAAAGTGGTTTCCTAAAATCAGAGAAAGACCGAACATACCTGAGTTAATTAGTCCGAATGAAATTGCATAGAAGTCTGTCAATATATGCTATTAGAACTCAACTCTGCGCCCTAAAACAGAACCAAGTGGGACACTGAACTATAAATCACATCAAATGCTCAAAATAGCCTAATCAGCTTCCTGTATTTTGTTTACGTGCGTCTTGGGCCATTTTCTCGACAATGTGTGTCTGCCGCTATCGGCATCACGTGATACCCTTTGGAGGGGGAAAGTTTTGAACTGAAGCTGGAGAATATCATTCAGAGTGGTGACTGAAGCATACTACAATCTTCAGTTCACTTCAATATCTACACTCCAAGATGTCGAACCCGGATCAATCACCATGCCGAATTCTAGTCATGGCCTCTGGTTTTGGCTCTAACTTTCAGGCTCTTATTGATGCGATATCTACCGGTTCACTTCCAAATAGTCGTATCATTTCTCTCATTGTGAACCGACGGAACGCACACGCAACTGTCCGAGCGGAGAAAGCTGGTACGAGCCCTCTCACAAAATCTTATACACCATGCTGGTCCATACAACTTTCATGTGTATATTTTATTGTGTACTCTGTACTATACTAACTCGCGACAAGGCATTCCTTGGCAATACTTTAACTTGATCTCTCATGGGTTTTTGGAAAAGGGAGAAACCGACGAGCAGAAGGTGGCTGAAGGTCGTCGGAAATACGACGCTGCTTTGGCCGAAAAGATTCTCTCATCCGACGAGAAGCCTGAGCTTATTGTTCTAGCTGGTTGGATGCACGTCTTCTCGACTGCTTTCCTGGACCCTATTAAGAAAGCTGGTCTGAACGTCATTAACTTGCACCCGTGAGTTCAATGAATTCTGTCCTTGCAAATTACCGGATCATTAACAAAACCATCTAGTGCTCTACCAGGGGAGTTTGACGGAGCCAACGCGATCGAGCGAGCTTATGATGAGTTCAAGGCTGGACGACTAACACGCTCAGGCATCATGGCTCACTACGTGATCGCTGAAGTAGACAGGGGTACTCCTATCCTGGTCAAGGAGATTGAGTGGAAGGGAGAGGACCTAGAACAATATAAGGAGAAGGTACACTCTCATGAGCACGAGCTGATCGTCAATGCGACCGCAAAGGTGGCACAGGAGACAGTCAAGAACAGAAGGACATAAAAAGGAGACGACATAAATACTGCTATAGCAGCACTGCACAATGAACTACAAACGATGCGAGATGAGACAAACTTCATATACAAAGCCATACAGAACAGGAGATGAGAGACATCTCGTCTCCATGAAGAGTAGTTATACATCGCCATAGGAGTGATTGAAATAGCTACTCTCCTATGTTGGTTGTTGGTTTGGCATAACCAGGAAATCGATTGTAGAACCAAAGAGCCAGACAGCATTCCTGAGCTCAACCCTTTATTATACCCCCTTACAGAATAAAACTTAAATCTGCCTCTCCCTGTCCCATATAAAATCTCATCCCTGACATGTGAAGTCATGTCAAAGCCCCCATTGACTGAAACATCTCCTGTCGGATATTCATTAGCCCGCTATCTATACCCAACGTGTAAGTGGTTATGGTTGTAAGCTTACCCTCCTTTCAAGTCAGACCATGCACGTCGCTTCTTCACGTTCTCAAACATTCGATCTTTGCAAACAAAACATGATTCCTTAACCTGCTACAAACGAACGCTTCATCCAAATTCATACGCAGTTTGCGCCCCAAGAGCTTCTGATGTTCTATCATAGCTTGGCCTTCGTCTCTCCAATAAGCGCCCGACCCTTCTCAAGCTCGTCACACAGCACCAGTGGCCGGCCACCTCTGGAACCATCAAGTGTCACCAATCCGTTATAAATACCCTCTGTCTCTCTTCCAACTCCATCGTTTTGGATCTCTCTCCATCGCCACTTCTCACCAAGCTTACCACCATGGCCTTGTATAACATCCACGATCTTCTCACCCAAGTTGGGTAGGAACTTGAATCCGTGTCCACTGTCGCCTGTTGCAACAAATAGCCCCTTCCAGCCCGGGTGGTAGTCAATCAGCCATTCGCCGTCTCGTGTATCGGAGTACCAGCAGATTCGAGCCTCCTTCCATGGTCGGGTTTCTAGGCCACGCACAGGACACAGGTCCTTGAGCGCACGGCGGAGATCTCTGTCGGCTTCGAGGGGTAGAGGATTCGAAGAGTCGTTGCGAGAGGTATAGGGTTGAGATGCGAGGAAGGGCTCCCGCTTATCGTTGGGCGAAGGAGGAAGAGCGTTGTTGATCTTGATTGGGTTAATGTATCCGAATGTGTGGCGGGCGACCTTGAGGACGTTGTTTCGTGGGGGGATGAGGAAGAGGCCGGTGCTGAGGTTCAACACTACAGGGAAGTTATCGAGTCGCTTCTGCTCTTCTGGTGTGATGTCCATGTACACGACTGCATGGCCAGTAGCCTCTGTTCTTCCTCGAAGGTCAACGAGTGAGCCGGACCAAGCACCGGCAGCTACCATGACCACATCGGCCTTGAGAACCTCCGAGTCGCTCAGCTTTGCACCAATGACTCGGTCGCCCTCTGTCACGAGCTCTATCACCTTGCCGTTGACGAACTGTATACGTCCTGTGGCCTGAGCCTGCTTGTAGAGCCACTTCATGCCCTCTCCAGCATCAGCCCAGCCAGAGTTACCATTGAGGTAGCCCCAGTCTCCGGGATAGCCGTCTGTGCCGAGGAACTCCTGTAGGGCTTTGGTACTCTCCAGCTTTTGGATCTTGTCCACAGGCAGACCGGTCTGCTTAGCGATTAACTCGACATTCTTGGCGCTCTCCTTGGTATAGTCCATGCCAGACTTCTTCAGCTTGAAGTCTTTGGGGGTTTCGCTCGCGCAGAGAACAAAACCCGACTCGGAATATCGTCCCTGTCCACCGACCTCGTGATCACCCTGCTTTCGCCATTCCTTCTGCGCCTCGGCGGCAAGCGCGGCATAGTAAGGGTCTGAGTAGTCGGCTCGCACAATTCGAGACGAGTCTACACTGGCAGCATCTTCCGGAGGAAACTGTCCTGCGCAGTCGTCGACAACAGTAATCGAGGTGTTGGAGTAGTGTGTTCGCTTGGCCAAAGCCAAGGCGGTGCCGAGGCCAAAGACTCCAGAGCCAACGATAAGGATAGAAGAGGGAGCGCCAGCCATTGTGACAGACAAAGATGATAGACGGTCGAGGAGAAGACAAGAAAGGCTTCCTACGAGGGACAATCACTTATCTGCCACTGTTGACAAAAGAAAGTTCACATGGGCCGATGAAATGCGAAGACTTTTCCCCGTTCCCACACCGATCACGGCGTTGTCTGAGTAGGAGAGCGTCGCAAACGACACTAGAACGGGCCCAAAAATCGGCTGATAGTCTTTCGGCTGCCGAGAATCGGGGCTAGTCTGCCAATTGACTATGAGAATGCCATTATTGGCTGAGCACGTGAGTGGATAATCATGCATCATCGACGCACGCGAGCTTCACACACAAAATGTCAAAAAGACTTCAAACTTCGGAGAGAACTTAAAACTTTATTTATATCTCACTGAGAAAAACTGCTCATTCGGGAGAATACATCTCACAGATGTTGGTTTTAGTTCATGACAACCATATGGCTGTCTTGACCACCAGCAGATGCTGGGGTATGCTCTCCAGATATTCACGAACTCGTTACCAAGTTCATGTTTTTTTTTAACTGAACCCTCAAAAGGCTCACTTAGGCAACTGTTCGACTTTGTTTCCTCAGCACCCTCTCTCAGCTCAACGCGTCCCTCAAGAATATTAGAGGCGCTCAAATCAACTGAGCGCGTGCGCCACAGCAATGGCGCGAGCAATCTATCATGTGTCGCGGGATGAGTAGTCTTTGCTTTTCCCCAGAACCGAAATCCCTCGTAAATAATCCCCTTCCTAACCGCCCCTGCCAACGCCATTGCAATGCAGAAATTCAAAATGGTACAAACGCAAATTCCTGGCTCCCAACCTGGGCATCAAGACCGGGCGGAAGCCAGAGAACATAAAAGCAATCGTGGTATCGTGACGGGTTGTCTAATCATACACGTCGATAAGGTGACATTGTAGTGTCGGATGTAAGATGACAAAGAGTCAAATGGCACCTTAGACTTTACGGAAATCTGGTAGGAGTTGTTAGCACCAGTATGAGTAGAGCAAGGGTGATTAAAAACAAACCTTGCAACACAGGGTAGATCATCTCGAAGGCCTGGTAGATTTCCTCTCGAACCTTGGCACCAGTCAAGACGATCTTACCACTGACGAAGATAAGAAGCACAATCTTGGGCTTGATCATGCGGTAGATGAGACCGGGGAACAATTCAGGTTCATAAGAACTGAAGTTGTGATGGCGAGATGCCAAACCCTCGAGCCGAATAGGGAACTTGATGTCGCAAGAGCCGACAATGTTCTGGATCTTGAAGTCGGTGAACTTGGCATTGAACCCAAGCTTCTGAATGATACGAGCGTACTTTCTTGAAGCGAGCTTCGAATCGTCTTCAGACTTAGCACCAGTGACGACCATCTTGCCGGAAGCGAAGATCAGAGCGGTGGTCTTGGGCTCGCGGATTCGCATGATGACAGCGGCGAAACGCTTTTTCTGTTAGCAACGTGTTTTTACTCGGTGTGCACGTGTCAAGTCTGTAGTACCTTAGGGTTGTACTCTGCGTTACGAGCGTGCAGAGCAATAGTCTTGAGGTCCAAGCGGCAGTCCAAGTTCACTGTAGCCACGATGTTCCTTTAAATTTTGCCAGATAAGCCTCGCTGAGCATAAAAAGATCACTCAGGAGGATACATACTGTAGAGTAGGAGTGATTCCACTGGGTCCTTGAGTGGCAGCAGGCGTCGCGACAGGCGTTGCGGGTGCCACCCCATTGCCATTTGCCGCCTGCTGGCCGTTGAGAGCAGGTCGCTGAGCAGCGTCACCAGTGCCGGCGGGCGGTGGTGTCAACTCGTTGGTAGCTCCGGGGAACGACAGCGATCCGGGCGCAGTGAACGCCTTGGCTTGCGCCGCGTTCGATGGGTGTGTCTGGATGCCTTCCATGATTGGAGTCGGTATCGAGATGTGTCAACGGTTATAAAAAATCGCTGAACAGATCTAGAGCGAGACCCAAGTTAGCACCGCGCATCAACGAAAAGAGCGTGCATCCTACCCTGGAAGGTAGATGCGATGGTGATGATGCAACGCGACAACAGAAATGCAGCGCCGTTGTGTTGTTGCGAGAGTGAGGTTGAAAAGAGAGAGGAGAAACAGGCCTTTTATAGGCGGGGTAGAGGGTCTGTGCAGTGAATCAGAGGGACCACCTACCAATCGTGGGAGAGAAACAAGTGAATGTGTCCCCTACAAAGAAACTGGCCCAGCGGAGTTTTGTTGTTTAAAAAGCGACGAATACAAAGATTCGCAACAGAACGATATGGAAGATGGTGGAATAAAGGTAGCCTTTTTTCTTCTTCCCGAGTCGATATTCGATAGACCGATCAAGTTATTATAATCTTAGAAGACCACGATCTTCTTTCACTTCACGGCAACTTCTTTTTTTCTATTGTTTTCTACAATAGCGCAACGACTCGATGGTGACGATGACGGTGTCGGCGGGTATCGCTTCGTTCCGGTCTTGGTCGAGTTCAACGATGTCGGTTGCGCGCAAGGAGCGAAGAGGGCAAGGAACGTTTTCCAGTTCTTGCAACCTGGTCGCAAGGGCTGTGACCTAGAGAGTGTGATCACGTCTGCGGCAGCAGGGTCGTGATGTAGTGACAAAGTGAAGAGATGAGTGAGACAAAGCCCGAGGTGATTCAAGGCTCAAGCTGAGAGATGGGACAAGATGGTAATTGTCCACACAGATTGGATGTGAAGGTTTAGATGTGGGGTGTGACGTCGTGGGGGGGATCAAAAATAAAAAGAGAGGCCGGACGTAAGTGGTTGGTACGTAGGGCCGTCAGTCGGGACTTCCGCGCAGGTCTTTCGAAACAGGCGGGCGAGGGGAGGGCTGGCTCTTTATAATTTTGGAAAAAGGCTGCTCGGGCAGGACACCCCAGGCAACAACACGTCCTGTGGCGTCGGCGCTGGCAGGCTTGGCGTGCGCTAGCCTATGCACTAAGCTGAGTTGATCCAATCAAACACTCTTGCGACGCTGATTTTATCTCCTTTTTTCCCACCCACTCACCCCAGTCTCAGCATTGAGCCCCTGAAGTGTCGCTATAGCAAATTCAAAGTCCATGTACACATGTATCGGTACTTTCTTTTTGACTTTGCAACACAACCTGCGCCCAAACTCTTTCCATTGCTCTGGACTCAGGCGCTGCAGGCTTTGATGCACTGGAGCTGCGAGCCCCCAGGATTTCAGGATCGCCATTGACAGGGTGCCCTGCTGCCCGATACAGGCCGTCCGTGTAGGTAATAGCGGCTCACTCTCACCCTCCACTCGCTGGCCTGGCTGCTTGCTCTCAGTCACAGGAGATCACAAGCAAGGAAGCCAACACGGCTGTGGGCGTGTACACAGGTTCATCAAATGAGCAACGATTTAAGCGAGACACTTTCCCAGCTTCAGGTGAGATAATCCAAAGTGACAATATGATCGAAGCAGCACTAACCAAATTTCAGTCAAAAGATGCACAATAATGGCGTGTTCTTTCTTTCTTACCTACTCACAAGTATCCGGATTATTTCTTCCACAGCCTGGCGTGACCAGTCTTTCTTCTTCTGGCTGCTAGTTTTTTACTCTGTCGTCATCTTTTTCACTGCACTTTCTTTTCTGTCCCTCCATCACCTCCCACCTTTCACCTCTTCCTCTCCAACAATCCACAGAACTCACTGCAATCTTGAAGCCAATATGCAGCTACAAGACCAATGAATCTTGAATCGATCCTGTTAACGAACGACGGTGATATTCACGAAGACGAATAAGGCAACGCACGATAGAATGAAGTATGAGCGAAGGACGACGTGAACCGGTACTGACCGAGTCGAGATGGACGAAAACGATGCCAAACACCGACGGGAACGATCACGAAAGATAGCAAAGGCGGGCACCAAGACCCATCAACAAGCAGAGCCTGCCTTGGCCTGGACTGGCTTGACTCAAGCCGGATACTGCGACGGCATCAGCACGCAATCCGGCGGCGACAAGAGCGTCACAGCGCCTATCCATGGAGACTTGCAGGCCTGTGGACCTCGGATACGGACTGGAATTATGGGCCGAGGGGACTAGTCCGACTAGGCGTGGTTGGTTGCTTTTTAGGCTTTCCACTCATTCAGACTGACTCCCACCTCTCTTCTGTCTGACTCTGATTGCTCTCGCTCGTTGGCGCACCAAGATCGCCTCTGTTGCCCCAATCGCAATCGCGTACCCCCGTCGCTACTTATCGGAGCGGGCACCACTAACTCAAGTTCTAGCCATGCTCCGCCCTGTCAAACCCTTTGCTCGCCCCCCGTGGGACTTTTTTCTTCCAACCCAACCCAACCACCGACTCTTGCCTAACCCAACACGATGGGACCCTGAAACACGCTCTGCCCCCTTCACTGACTATTTTGTTCAGCCCACGCGCCTTACTTCGCTACGCGTCGTCACCCTAGCACCTCCAGCAGGATCATTTGAATTGCGCTCATTTCACTGCCATAGTTGTCTCGCAAGCGTCTCATCAGCAAAGTCACGCCATGACCTGCAACGAGAATATGGCTCAGTCAACACATCACGCGACTCATCTGGCTGCACAAAGCCTGATTCACGGACACTCCGCACAGCAGCAATTTTGACTGAAATTTTCCCTCCCACGTCCAGGCAGCCAGCGACCAGGAAGCAAGAGGCAGGTTGTGGGTTTTTTCCTTTTTCATGCCCTCTCATTTTGAGAACCCAACCGCCCGCTGGCTCTGTGAGTCATTCAACTGTGGCCAACCAGGAAGCAGTTAGCCAGCAAAGTGCCCCCCCTCGCAATGCTAAGGAGGCTGGAGCTGTGCGCCCACTGACTGGCTTCTTGCATCATGTACTCAGTACAACGACTTACTGGCAGCCGCCCTTAGATCTTGCAGTCGTCATGGTTGTTCACTTTTGGATGCTGATGCATTCTTTATTTATCACGCTGCATTTATGTGCTTTTGCACCGCTTTCTTGTTATGCGAGACTGAGCGTTGAGTGATGCATGATTCCCAACGCCTGGGCTAGATTTTACAAACCTGCATGTCATGACTCTTGGAAACCCCAGTCTGCATTGAGGACACGTTCCAGGATGCCACCGTCAATTTGACACCGAGTGGTGACACGAAAATTTTGATTGTCAAGGATCGCCAAGTATGGTTACCTCTTACGAGAACGCGTCAAATTACCGGGGCTTGCTGACACAAGTACCTCACTAACAATTTTCTGGTCCCACGACTTATCACAGTCCTAGCCTCGGTTTGGACAGGAACTCCACAGACCGTTCATCTCCAGAAGACCCAACCAGCCTCATTTGAACTTCTTCGCGGTTCTACCAGGATCCGCCATGTCTTGCTAGCTTCTTGATCCATGGGCAAATTTGGCTGGGGCATGAACCGACTCCGCACTGCAAGATTCGCTTGAACAAGATTGCTCTTCTTTTGTGGGGGCGATCGCAAAGCTATCTCTATTCAGTCCTTACCTGGATGACAGAAAAGATAAGCCTATCCTTTGTTATCACCCTTGAGCTTGGCTTGGAACATATTGACATATTTCTCAAGTACAAGATATTCGACCATCCAATGATTGAAATTAACATGCTGGTATTCAAAGAAATGTCCGCACATGTCAAGAGACATAGCCGCGGAATCCGCAAGGACTAGGCTCTCCACATTGGACGCTCTAGGCTTTCGCCATTCCTCCTTGTTCACATGCTGATAAGATCAAGTCCATGCGGCTCAAGTGACCTTTCTATACAGACAGTCTCTCGATTGCCTCCAGCTGAGGAAGAAGCACATCTATGCTATCCAGCAAACGTTCAGTCGCCCGCCGAGGTTATAGTCTAGATCTTCATTCCGTACCAAAGTCGTATTTTTGCATCGTACCTTGACTCCAATATGCTCCAAATGTCAAACCTTCCCATCTCTTACTCTCGGCCTTATGCCAATTCACTGCCCCCAACGCGCCAATAATGCATCCAGGTATATAAACAAGGTATCATACAGAATACACAACGAAAAAAGGCTTGCTCCCAACAGGACAAGTGTTTGGTTTTCTTAAGTCATGTAGTATTTGGGACCTTCGCCTCCTTGGGGCACCTGCCAGTTGATATCCTGGTGAGGAGCCTTAATATCGCACGTCTTGCAATGGATGCAGCTATTTCATTGTTAGCGTCTGTGTTCTCAACTTCAAGAAGCCGTGACATCAACTTTGTACTTACTTCTGTGCGTTGATCTGGAAACGCACCCCGTGAGGCTTTGACTCGTCCTCAACATACTCGTACACGCCAGCTGGGCAAAATCGGTTCTCGAGACCCTTGAAAGGAGGGTATGTTGACTCAGTATGGGCGTCCCAATCCTTGACTTGTAAATGAACCGGTTGATCCTCCTCGTGATTGGTTCCTGTTCGGGAGACACTTGTCAAGATATCAAAGGTGAGCTTGCCGTCAGGCTTCTCGTACTCGATCTTAGGGACCTTGTCGGCAGGAAGGGTAGCAGCGTGGTCGGGAGTCTTATGCTTGAGGGTCCAAGGAACGCGGCCCTTGAAGACATAAGCCTCAAGACCAGAGTACATGATACCGCCATAGAGGCCGAGAGGAGTGTGGAAAGATGGTCGCATGTTGCGCACTTCCTTCAGTTCCTTCCAGATGGGAGAATCTCTTAACTTGTTCTCGTAATCGTACAAGAAGACTGTGCCTTCATCGGTCTCTTCGCTAATAGCAGTCCATGCTGCCTCGGCGGCAAGCATGCCTGACTTCATGGCATTGTGAGTGCCTTTTACCTTCGGAACGTTGACAAAGCCAGCTGAGTCACCAATGAGCGCACCACCTGGGAAAGCAACCTTGGGAATGGACTGGAAGCCACCCTCGATGAGAGCTCGAGCACCATACGAGATGCACTTGCCGCCCTCAAGGACATCACGGAACAAAGGATGTCGCTTCAGCTTCTGGAACTCTTGGTAAGGCGACATCCAAGGGTTCGAGTAATCAAGCGAGACGACGAGACCAATCTGAACAAGGTTCTCGCCAAAGTGGTACATGAAAGAGCCACCGTACACATCTTTGGGTAGCGGGTAACCCATTGAATGCACAACTAAGCCCTTCTCAAACTTGGCAGGATCAATCTCCCAAACCTCCTTGACACCAAGACCGTAAGTCTGATGCTGGCTGTCCCTACGCAGATCAAATTTGTTGATAACCTGTTTGCTCAGGCTTCCATGGCATCCCTCGCCAAACATGGTCACTCTCGCATGGAACTCCATGCCTCGCTCGAATGTTTCCTTGGGCTTGCCATCACGGCCAACTCCTAGATCGTTGGTGGCGACACCCTTGACTGAACCATCCGAAGCATAAACGACCTCAGACGCAGCGAACCCGGGGTAAACCTCGACACCAATCTCCTCGGCCCGCTCTCCAAGCCATTTCACAAATTGGTTCAAGCTGACGATGTAGTTTCCATGATTGGTCATTTGGGGAGGCGCGGGAATGGGGATAGCAGAGTTCTTGGTGAGGAATCGCATACGGTCGGTGCCAGCAGGAGTGGCATGTTCGAAACGGTTGGGGTTATTCTCGTCGAGCCAGTCGGGGATAAGTTCGTTGATGGAGGTGGGCTGGATCACAGCTCCAGACAGGATATGAGCGCCGAGGTCGCCAGCTTTTTCCAAGACAAGTACACGGAAATCCTCGTTTCCAGCTTCATTGGCAAGCTGCTTGAGGCGAATAGCAGCGCTAAGTCCAGCGGGACCAGCTCCTACAATACAGACGTCAACCTCGTCGAACTCACGCTCAACGCTCGCGGGATCGAAATCTTGGTCGTCATCTCGAAGTCGAGAGGTAGTGCTAAAGGCACGAGAAGCGATTGGAACTCTTGCGCCAGACCATAATGTCGCGGATGTCCTTCTTGTAATAGAGGATCTAGCTGAGATTGTGACGAAAGAAAGGTTAGATCTGGCGGGGCGAAGCTGAGAGTGAGAAAGCACCCTCGAACTGCGCTGGACGCATCGCGAAACTGGTCGTGGGGCGGACATGATGACGGTATGGAGCTGAAGGCTAATTGGATGTTCAGCCACCAGGAGCAGAATTGGCGATGGATGAGTGAGACTCGGGGTAAGGAAAAGGGAAAAGAATTCCTTTTGGAGAGGAGCTCAAGAGGGAAGAAATGTCCTGGCGCCGGCGGCAACTAAGCAACTTTCTGCCGCCGTTGACTCTTTCTTTCGTGGTGCGAGCAGAGAGGGCCGATAGTGGGGAAGGCACGATCACCGGGGTGGCTATTACCGCTTTTGGGCCCAACAGAGGACTTCTTTTTGACAATTAACTGGATGTTAATTGGCTCTTTAGCGGGTGTCTCTCTAGAGCTTGGGGCTCTTTTTCCGGCTTCGTCTTCTTATCCTCGGGTCTCTACCTAGGTAAGTAGATACCAGATTCTTCAGAGAGTGGGAGGTAAGATTTACTGTTTAAACAAATCTCTTTACAGTATTATCTCTTCTCTAATAGGTAGAATGCTGCTGCTGCTGCACCCAGGGATTGTCAAGGCTCTCAACGGCACTCGGTTTTTGGATAACCGAGGCCATGGACCACCGTCTCAACGTCTAAAATCGCGGTTGGTACTCGGCTGATCCGCATTGGTGTGGACCTGGGGTATGGTTAAAGGTATGGCTAGCATGTGCAAATGCTGTCATCATACAAGATGAGTGATGCTAACGAGTATGTTTTAGGCATATACTCTTGGATGGCAGTATCTGACATATATGAATAACAATATCAATGCAGTCACCAATTGGCAACTATCCACTGCTTTTGAGTCGTCAGAGTGTATAAACCCACAGGCCTTTACAAGGATGTCCAAAATCTTGGTAGGTAGAAAGCCTACCAAATTGGCCTAAATTATCCTAAAGTACTAACCTGCGTATCCTAAACTTGTCTAATTATTTCTGTCACTTAGGATTGAGGTCTCAGAGTATTCTTATTCACACATCCCCTGGAGAGCTCAATTCCAGGAACCTGTGCCACTGCAATTGTGAATCCATAGTCCTGTCATGATGCTAGGGTCCATGAACAATTACGTCAATCATACATGCCCCAAGCGTTCGGTATTCGGATGCTCTTGGCCGATGCTTTCATTCGGCTTAACACTGTTCTATGCCGCGGCTCTGGGTCTTAGGCTATCTACTGAACGCATTGTTTCGGTTTTGTTTCGGTCTATGGGTTTGCCTCACCATCTATCTATATTACATACCACATCGTAGTCCACAGCAATTTCCAGTTCACGTGTTCAGGTAGCCCGGTGTGTCAAGCGTATGTCTTGATTTACGGATGTTACAGAGGGAATTTGTTTGTGGTTTGCTTTTCGTGTTTATTGACGTTGGGGGACTTTCTCGCTTACATCCAATGTCCATTTGCCCACCCTCCTACCACTGTACTTGGCTACGGTGACACGGTCTGGCTTACTTGTTACAATGCGATTAAACCTACGAGCCATATAAACAGACTACACAAGAGAATATGTATTACCTTTATTCAATATCACCGATCTCTTCTGTTTCACACATTGGCAGGGTTGTCCTCTGATCAAGATATACATACGTCGACTTATTGGTTACCCTATAACTCGAGCTCACTGTAGCTTTTAGCATAACCGTTCGTTGCCTGAACTTATAATACACAATTCTCAGATAAGTTATCGTATTCATACTTGATCATGCAGAGTGTGCTGCAGTATAACTGGTTCCCTTGCATCTCAGCTTGCCTGGTTGCACGGCATTGTTGCTGCACCATCAGACCAATCCCAAATTTGATAGCTTTCGTCTTGGACTCCCGTGCCTGGGCATTCTGACATCTCCGGGAACTTAGAGAACCCATATCTGATTGACTGATGCTCAACCCAACGCGCACCGCTTTCTGCCAACTCCATTAAATCCCGGAAAATTCCAGGGTGAGTCATGTCAACACATTCGATGAACGGAGTCGTACTCTGAGCCCATAGGACCATTCCTTCAACGCCAACCAGGATGGGAGTAGGATATGTATACACCACAGCGTACGGGCAGATGAAGAAGTACTGACTGAAACACTCATGCATCAATCTGAGACAATCTTCTTTGATAAAGAAGTTAGCAGGAAGAGAAATATCAAACATGCTAGGTAAGGTCATCGTGTGCTGCAGTATGGCTTGTGTAGTCTGGGTGTGAGCACTCTCGTCGTCCCACAAGCCCGAGCTCTTATATCCATAGATGCACGAAAGCAAGCAGTGATACGAGAAGGGCAACGTTTTACGACATCCATGATACAACAAATCACGAATTCCTCACATGAATCACTGGGATCGGTATGTACTAATGTATACATGACTCTGAATGTCTTGTTACGGATACCTAGCATTGAAGCGTCAATTGATAAGATGTAGTGTGCATCTTGAAGTGAAACAAGGCACTCTTTCTTACCGAGTCACAATGAAACACTAACCATAGACTCTCGATACAACGCGTTTGAACAGTGAGTATAGGACGTGCCTGTTGGTGATACTTTCATTGTTAGTGATTGGCTCTTTTGTAAGCAGTCCAGGGCGAGTGAGAAAAAGGCTGAAAACGACAAACTACCTGATCTATTGGTTGGAAGATCTCGGTCAAAGGCAAATAAATACACAATTAACTTGTCAATACTTTGCAAGTAAATGATTAAGATATTGGTACGATTACCATGAAATTCGGGCTTTACATAAACATGGATTAAGAGAAACATATCTTGATCCTCAACCCGTCTAACCCAATGCCCATTTTGCACGTTTTCAGGGGATTACCTTGTCTCAATTAGCCTACGAAGTTTATCTTGAAATCTCCAACGCTCCAAGCTTCCCCAGCTTCAGCCCCACTCCCTTTAGTTTTAGTCAGGGGTCAATGGTCATCATTGGTTCCTGCATCTTCAAACCTCCTTCCCTTCAGCCAACCGCAAAACACCAACATGTCTTCCTAACAACAACCTCTTCAAATGACGAGAATATCGTCAAAATGTACTATATTCTCACTTTTCTGACTAGCATCGTAGCCGTATCTGCTGAATGCCCTAACTACGAACAATTCGCCCGTGAACGACACGAACCTTTCTCGTCGGGGCGCCATGCGTTTCCTATTCAGCGCCCGAGCAAGGATTGCCGCACATATTCAGTGCCTGCGGTTGAAAGGGTGATCTACGAGGAGATGGATCAAGCGATTGGTGATCCAGATCTATATCGTTTGTTTCTGAATACATGGCCCAACACACTCGATACAACCTTGAAATGGCAGGGTACTTCTGCTGATAACTCTGATGAGGAGGTAAACTATGCTTCTTGTACAGTATCATATTGCTTATTTCACTGACATGTTATCAGCTGGCGTTTATTACCACAGGTGATATAAACGCCCTCTGGCTGAGGGATAGTGCAAATCAGCTCCAATCATACAAGTCCATCCTTTCCTCCAACAGAGGCTCCCCGTCCGGCGAGAACGATATCGCCTCTCTCTTCCGCGGAGCCATAAACCTCCAAGCCCGATATATAACAAAATCCCCCTTCTGCAATGCCTTCCATCCTCCACCTGAAGCCAAGATCCGCCGTGCGAAGCGATCTCTTCAACCTCGAGACACCGTCAGTCCGAAATATGACCCTGATTTCGTCTTCGAGTGCAAATACGAGCTTGATTCTCTTGCAGCGTTTCTCCAATTATCATGGGATTACTACGAAGAAACGGTGGATGGCGAATTCTTTGGCAAATTTGGCTGGGTCGAAGCCGTCAAGGCGATCCTAAGGGTCGCGAAGCATATGCAAGAAGGGACATATGATGAGCAGGGCAGAGTGCAGAAACCTGCATATACATGGCTGCGAAATTCTGACAGTGCCTCAGAGACTGTGTCTAACCACGGCCACGGTGCGCCTGTAAAGGGTCATATTGGCCTCGTGCGCAGTTTCTTTCGACCATCTGACGACGCATGCATCTACCAGTACTTCATCCCCGCCAATATGATGTTTTCACGCTACCTCACCGCATGCGCAACGATAATGAGACCTTTCGATGAGAAGGTGGCCAAGGAGATGGAGGCGCTGGCGTTTGATATTGAAGTTGGGATTAACAAACATGCTATTATCCAGCACCCTATATTTGGAGAGATGTATGCTTATGAGATTGACGGCTTTGGATCGTATAGTATCATGGACGACGCCAATATTCCATCCCTCCTGAGCATTCCGCACCTAGGGTACAAACCAGCCTCGCAGCATGTCTACGACAACACACGCGCTTTTGTGCTAAGCTCATATAATCCATACTACGCCCGAGGGCCTGTTCTGAATGCTACAGGTGGCCCTCATCTTGGTCCAGGCATGGCGTGGCCTATGGGGCTCATTGTCCAGCTTTTGACGAGTGACGACGACGAGGAAATTGTGGATGGCATTCGACAGTTGATGAACTCAACGAGTGGGCTCGGTCTCATTCACGAGACAGTTAATAGTCACAATGAGAAGCATTGGACAAGATCGTGGTAAGTTATGCAGCAGGAGCTGAAATGCTATGAGTACTGACAGAACAAAGGTTCTCGTGGGCCAATGGCTTGTTTGGACAGATGATTATGGACTTGTATAAACGGAAACCAACATTAATAGCCAGGAGCTACCAGGGTGTTGATGATAAATGATATATCAATATGTAATAGAAAGCTCTGGATGAGCCAGGATTGAGTTGTATAAATGTCCCCATTGAGCGAGGAAGACACCATGCATATATGATCGTGAACTTTGGTTCACGTAACGCAGGGTATTTAACAATTAGTTTGTCATAAACATCCAGTGTGATTGCTAATCTAATGACCAAGTAAGTACAATACTTATGCCGATAGCCGCTATGTTGTCTCATTCATAGTCATAACTCCCAAACAGCCATTCCTGATGTTAATGCAAATCAAACCATACCCGTCATTTGCCTCCTAATTCATTAAAAGCGGACCAAGCCCTGTTTAACTCAAGTCAAAACCTGCCCCCGACTGCACAGCATAAAGCAATTTCTCGCGAAGCGTCGCTTCTGAAGTGTATCTTGGTAGCTTGAGCAGGTTAACACATGTGCTGGTGCTTGGTAGTCTCTCCTCGTCTGTTCCTCCGTCTCGAATGCTGAACATTGGTCTCAGTTGTGAGAAGCCCAACAAAGGGGCTCGGGGTGTCGAGCTGACATATTTGAGAACATCACGGCGTTGAGCATCTGTGAAGCTACGCATGACTTTCCAGAACAACTTGATTGTTTCATGCTCTTCACCGTCATCACCAATTTCGTATAAGCCGCTGTAGATGGTGTTATTCCGGAGATCATCGATATCGATCTCGGATGAGTCACCGCCGACAAGACGCTGCAGCTCCGACTGATTAAACATAGACAGCCACGAGGGGCGGATAATAGACCTTAGACCGCGCAAGAAGGCTGAGGTCTGTGGTGCTGGTTGAACAACCAAACGGTGCCGAGCGACATACGAGATGTATAAGAGTCGGTTGTCGTTCGTAACGTGGATCTGATCGCCATTGGCTATCAGCTTCCTGGTGACAGTCTTCACTGGATCTTTAGGGTCTGAGACTTGGTCCTCGATGGTGAAGTCGATTCCCAGTTCAGAGATATCTCCAGGGTAATTCTTGAGTCGTAGCATGCCTCTGTAGAGTTCCTCATCCATATCTCGAAGATCGTTCACACTGCCTTTATAAGTATTCTCATCGTTAGGCCCTGTCGATGTCCACTTGAGGAGAAAGAAGCCAGCAAAAGCTAGGTCAACGAGAATGCCCTCGTACATGCATTTGCCCACGATCCTGCCAAGAAATTCAAATCGCTTGAGTAAATCTGACATCATATCTCGAAATGTGCTGTCAGCTTCTGTCATTCCGGCATGGCGCATTTCTTCCCGAATAACGTCGAGGGCTGTGGGATCAGGGTACAGAAGTCCCTTTTCGTTCGAAGTGAACATGCCTCTACCACCTTCAGCACCGAACGCTTCTGTCGTTACGCTGATAAGGAACTCTTTGGTAACACCTCCTCCATCGATACCAGCCTCAGCGGCACCGAACTGATCGACAAATGTGATCTGGATAAGATCCTTCAGACCTTCCCCTATCTCGTAGAACTGCTTATATGCATCGTCAAAGAGACTGTTGCGTGAAATTCGTGCATGGTGTTTCGCATACGGACCGCCAAAATGGGACTGGCTGTTATCCCCTCGTTGCTCCCGATCTAGTTGGATAAAGTGGCGAAAGATTTGAACACGAGTTTCGAAAGGAACTGCAAACGGCATGTGCTTTAAAATCTCCAGCTTGGGCTTCATCTCTGCTTGTCGGCGCTCCCTCTGACTCCGAATCTGCTGAACTTTCAGTTGCTCGAGTCTTGCATGTCGTGACAGTCGCTGGCCAACAATAGTTGAGTAAAGACCTGGACCATCCCCATGTTCGCTATCCTCGACATCGCTGTCATCGGAGTTTTCATCGATCTGTCGCTTTTCCTCTGCAATAACAGCACTGATGAAGTCTGACTGGTCTAGTTTTGAGGTCATAAGCCAATGGTCTGTGGGAAGGAATTGCTTCCTCGAATCTCTTTCATACAGCATTTTCATAGCTGTTGTAACAATGTTTCGCAGGCTGTCAATATCAAGTCTTGTTGGACTCTTTGTGGGTGAAGGCCCCTCTGATATCATTGCTGAAGATTGCTCAGAACCAAAATAGGTGTCAATACGATATCTGGAGGCTGCCTCCAGATCACCACGGGATTTGGAGAGTTCTTGAGCCTTATAGTGAAGAGTAAATGCAGTATTCTTCAGAAAGCTTGTCAGCATTTTGACGTCCTCCAGGGACAGGCTGCAAGATCGAATGCGGGATATTGATGGGTTTTGCTCCATGATCCGTGGGTCAATACCACTGAAAAAATCCTCATCATCGCTCAAACGAAGAATAAATATATACAGTTCAAGGAACAAGAGGACAATCCGCCAATCCTGTTCCTCTTCCAGGGAACTCGAAGTCTCTGATGCAACACCCAGATATCTGCGGAGGACGTCGAGCGGGGGCTCTGACTCAATCCTCAACTTCTGGAAGACCGCCGTTTGGCTCATAATGTGCCAGAGAAACTTTATCGTTGAGACATCACCCGAGACCGTAGGAATTTCCTCAAGGAAGAGGCGCATACGTATGTCATCGCTGTTTGCAGGGAAGCATCGGAGTAGGGTCAAGATATACCCAGCCAAAAAGCTCGTGCTTTGATACTCTTGCGATGAGGATCCCGCCAAGTTAGTCGAGAATTCGTGTAACGTTTGTGAAATGCCATTGCTGTCCACTAGTGACATGAGTTTAGTAGTGATATAAGGATCTAGTGATGGCACGAGAGGCTCTTCAGAGTTATTCTCGTCGCCATCTGTCGACTTTGCCAACAAACGGAGACTGATGGTAGAAGAAAGACCAGATAATTGAGTGTAAAGCGTTTCCAAAACACCCGAGCCGCTACTATTGTTGGCGTTCAAACGACTCAAATCGATGAAGTGGGCGAGCTGCCAGAGTTGAGCATCCTGAGAGTGTTTCTCGCTCGAGGGAGAGGATAGTCCTGTAACTATCGCCTCTGAAAGATCAGAAAGTCTGACTGCGTTAGATAGGGTGGAGATATTTTCTTCAAAGAAGTGCAAGTTATTGTTGGCTAAGAATGAGAAGGCGTATGCACGATAAACATGTGATGTCCCTGGAAAGCGTTAATAGAATACCAAGGATCCTGCTCGGGAGACTTGCCTTCGTGGGAGGCTGCCTCGAGTGGCCTAGAAATGGCTTGAAGCATAACATCTTGCCACTGCCCACTGAGCTTCTGAAACTGACATAGCTTGGCGACTACTGTATAGTAACTGTCGATTGTGGGAATGACCAATTCGGGGTATTTCGTAACGATGCGAAGAACGAGCTTAAAAAGGAGATGGGTATCGCCAGAAAGATCTCTGTATACAGGTTGGTTAGACAAGGGCCAGATGGAACTAGTGATAAACGTAATCACGTACCCTATTGATAAGGATTTGTCTAGGGCCTTTAAAAGCAGTTGAACAAGGCATCCTACTCGTGACGGATGAACATTTGAAGGAGTAATTCCTTCGAGATTCACAGACTCGGTATCATGTGCATAACAAATAGCTCGTTGTATGTCGTCATCCCGTCGCAGGCTGAAGAAAGACAGAAGCAGCGTGAATGCTTTTGGAAGCCTCTCAGAAGGATTCGGGAAGGATCCTGGCTTGTATAGAGCATCAAAGGTGTTCCTCTGAGACTCCTTCAGCTCAGCTCTCGTTTTATAGCCTCTCCATATTCTCTGTATCTTGCCAGCCGCCTTTAGTCTTGTTCGCTCGGCTTGTCGCCTCTCACGCTCGGCTTGTGCATTTGAAACAGTCTTTGTTGTGTTCGAAACGGCAGATGGCGACCACGAAGTATTATTGAAGGGATTTCCGGTGGCGCCGCTAAGGTTGACATTTCGAGGGCGTCTCGAGTTGCCCGTGAATGTCGAGAACATGGTTATGATGCGGGAGCAAGCGGGAGGATAGTTTGAGGTTCAGTGAGCAGAGAGTTTATTTAGGCAACGATATCATGGTTGAATGGCCCAACCGTCGAATTCGTCGTGAATATGTGTCGACCCTGCTTCTAGAAGATTCAGCGTGGAAGCTCAGTCAGCGCGGCGGCCTGGTCTATTTTAGATGCTATCTGCCCAATGCCGCGTTCGGAGTTTGGAGATGTTTTGGTGGGGATGGGTTTCGAGGTGACCTCACCTTTGTCTGAGCCGGGATGGCGATAAGATAAGAACAGCTAGATTGAGCAACTGCGGAACACGCAAATGCGAATTGCCGTGACAGCATGAAAATACGATTATGCGCCAATCGCCGAGAGTCTATGCGAAGTAACTCTCATTTCTTCCTGAAAAGAGTATTTTATTCAGGTTTGTCTGAATCATTGTGATACTTGGTAACACGCCTTTGCTGATTAGAAATGCTAATATCTAAAGTACTGGTAACTTCTAGATTCAGTTCTATGATAGACTGGGGCATATCTTCGGGACTTTCTCGTTTTGATGAATCTGAGGGTCTAATAACTCATTTATTCGTCTTTGGACTAATAATTTGTTTCAATAAATCATGATACTTGTATTTAGTCAAATGATAACTGAACAAAACTTGCCGTTATAGGGTTTCATGTATGTTCAATAGTGAAGTAAACTTCAAATTGTAGTTACGAGTGGACCCCATACTCGTCTGATGACACGACATGTCGAATCCTTATAAACATTGCGTGATAATCTTACCATAGGCCTCGAGTCCTGTTAAGGTGGCTTCGTGGTTGAGACGATATGAGTCCCATGCAACTGCATAGTACGTCTTATCTATGACAGGAATTTTTTTCTTGCTCTTGTCTCAGTCGTATAATAAATACTACACCTTCTAATATTAGACCTCTCATGTGACATCCGGAAATTGCACTGTCAAAGGAACCTTAACCTGAAAGAATGTCCACTTGTTGAGTTTATGCGCCGCAATAATATTGTATGCCTATCTTTGGCGGTGAAGAAACCAAGCATCATGGCATTTTGGATCTAATGAAGCGCCTAGCAATAGGTTCATATGCACGTACGTTGCTTTTACAATGATACCCCGGCCGAAGTGACGAGGGATGCCATTCTAACGGTAAGTGGACCATTGTGAAGTGATCAGTGAGACACTGAAGATGCCTAAATCGTCATAGGCAAAATTGGCAAATACCTACAGCAAAAGCAAAAATTGCTTCCTCGCACAGTTTTCTCTGTTACATCGTAGGCCAGCGGCCAGTGACAGCCTGGGCCGTTTGCTAGCTTCAACAGCGTGGCATAGTGTGGCTACCATCTCCAATACTAACAAAAATTTGAACGGTTTGCCTTTTCCAGCCTCGGGAGCGCCGCATGTACAGTGGGCGTGCAAAAGTTCCGACACATTCCGGATCCACCCCAACTACCTCGATCTCATACTGCCATTTCGGATTGCAATTGCATGGGCAATAATTCTTCAATTTAGATAATATATATATCAATCTGTAGAGACTTAAAAGGAGATTCCAGAAATATAGTTTAATACTTGGTATAATAGCCATTTGCGTTGTAACAGGCGTTCAACCGGTCGGGCATCGATTTTATCACGTTTTTGACCACTTCATCTTCGACCTCCGACCAAAGCTCCTCTGCAGCTTCAATCAGCCGGGCCAAAGCTGCTGCAGACTTTGGATAAGCAGCAATTTCAGGATATCTATCGCATATCCTCTTCTTCAGGACTTTCCATAGATTTTCAATGGGGTTGAGATCAGGGCTGTATGGCGGCCAGTCAGCAAGAAAGACTCCTGTTCTTCTTGCCCAGGGCAGCAGCCAATTCTGAACTTTCCGGCATTTATATGTACGGGCGTTGTCGTGCTGAAAAGTCTCTCCTTCCTCGACCAGTCCGGGAAGATAAGACTGTAAACAGGATAGAATAATCCTTCCTGTTACGCCTCCCCTCTCAGACTCAGGATCGCCGGCAAGAGGGACGATCCTAGACGGCTTATCATAGTGAATTGCACCAAAGAACATCTGAGAATGTCTGGCAGGCCGTCTACAGGGCTGCACCTTATCTTGATGGAGTCTCTCACCCTGTGGTGTTGTCAAAAGAAGCTTCTGAAATAGAAGGGGCTAGACTTACAGCAGAGTAAAATGACCACTTGGTATAGTCACCGTCTGTACGGTCGATAGAGACCTCATCAGAAAACCACCAGCTATACCAAAAAGACTCATCTTCATGACGATATTTTTCACAGAAAGCTTTTCTCAATTGAGCACTTTCTTCGCTGAGAAACGGGCGTCGAAGTGCAAGCTTGTGTTGTATCTTCTGATTGATAAGCCAGCGACGAATTGTGCTTCTTTTGCAGTTCAAACAGGTGCAATCAATTATTTCTTGGTATGAGATAAAAGCGTTTCTTCCAATGAGTATTTTGATATGATTTTTATCTATATCTGATAGTCGTGATGGCCTTCCAGAGCGAGGTAAATCTTTTGCTGATTGTTGGTGACGGTACCGTCGAATGACTCCATAGATCGCGTGCCGACTTAGCCCCTCACTGTCTGCGATATCCTGCACGCGAACACCTGATTCGTACATCGTCACAAACCTCGTTCTTTTGCAAGGAGAATGATGTGTTTTTTGCCGTATTCGAGGCATCTTTTCCTATAGAAATAACGCGATGAAGTTGTGGTGTTGATGTTGATGTTTAATTGAAAGCGGGGTCCGGACCTCGGATGTGTCGGAACTTTTGCACGGGACTGTATCTTGGCCACTGCCGAGATGATTGAGTAGGGCACGTGCCCCCGCCTCTTATCACTGTATAGTGGGCTGGCGCACGTAATCTGTTAGTGAAAGGCCTGTCCGATACCCAGCAGCCTATCACTACTAGTTAGCATGTACCCCACTTCCTCAAGTTGCCTATTAATTCTGGCAGGTGTAAGGGTGGGCATGAGGCAGGTTCACTCCACCAATCCTCCCCCTCTACCATGACCAAATCAGTACGTACCTTAGCCTTAGGTCTACAGTGCAGCCAAGGCTAAGCAAAAAATATTCTATCACGACCGAAATTTCTCTTTCTTCCTTCTTCAACCACGAAACCAACCTTATTACTCAACCCAAAAACCCATAAAAGTCGAGTCAGTCCAGAGGTACGGTCTTCGTACTAGTTCTCTGTTTCTGCTCACTTCATTTCCACTCGGAACAAAAACACAAAAAAAAACTTGAAAAAACCCCAAAAAACACAACCCACCAACACCACTACTACCCCCTCACCTCATCTCACGACCTCTCTTCTCTCTTTGTCTCTCTCGCGACACCCACCGCCCGAGTGACTTTCCTCCTTCGACGACTTCTCTCAACCCTACCTTTGAGTTCCTCGTACTCAAAGACTTTTGATCTCGTCACGGTCGCTTCGCTTTGTTCGTTGCCCCGTCTTCTTTGTTCGCTCAAGGTCGAGTACCACGCGAACTTTGTCCACTGTCGGCTTCATAAACAGGTATGCCTAGCCCTGCCATTCCTCCTCCTATGTCTACGAAACGATTTTTTCTTTTTTACCCAATATTCAAATCTGTCATAATTACCCAAGCGCTTGCTTGACTATTTGCTGACCCTACTGCTCATTGCAGGTCTTTACCCAAACCTAGAAAACCCGACATTCACAATGGCCGCCAACGCTGCTCCCGGCGCTGTTGACCAGCTCGCCAACGACCTCAACAACACCTCTCTCAACGGTGGTGACGCTAAGGCTCCTGCTGTCGACACCGGTGTCGCTGCCGCCGCTGACGATGCTGCTGCTCCTACCCCCACCTCCGCTGCTCCTCACCCCCAGAACTCTGCCTCTCTCTACGTTGGCGAGCTTGACCCCTCCGTCACCGAGGCTATGCTCTTCGAGCTCTTCTCTCAGATCGGTGCCGTCGCCTCTATCCGTGTCTGCCGTGATGCCGTCACCCGCCGCTCCCTTGGTTATGCCTATGTCAACTACAATGCTACTGCCGATGGTGAGAAGGCTCTTGAGGAGCTCAACTACACCCTGATCAAGGGCCGTCCCTGCCGCATCATGTGGTCCCAGCGTGACCCTGCTCTTCGCAAGAACGGACAGGGCAATGTTTTCATCAAGAACCTCGATGTCGCTATTGACAACAAGGCTCTTCACGACACCTTCGCTGCTTTTGGTAACATTCTGAGCTGCAAGGTCGCACAGGACGAGAACGGTAACTCCAAGGGCTACGGTTTCGTTCACTACGAGACTGATGAGGCTGCCTCCCAGGCTATCAAGCACGTCAACGGTATGCTTCTCAACGAGAAGAAGGTTTACGTTGGCCACCATATCCCCAAGAAGGACCGCCAGAGCAAGTTCGAGGAGATGAAGGCCAACTTCACCAATGTCTACGTCAAGAACATTGCCCCTGACGTTACTGAGGATGATTTCCGTGAGCTCTTTGAGAAGTTCGGTGACGTCACCTCTGCCTCCCTCGCCCGTGATCAGGAGGGCAAGAGCCGAGGTTTCGGTTTCGTCAACTTCACCACTCACGAGAGTGCCTCAAAGGCTGTTGACGACCTCAACGGCAAGGATTTCCATGGTCAGGATCTGTACGTTGGCCGCGCCCAGAAGAAGCACGAGCGCGAGGAGGAGCTCCGCAAGTCTTATGAGGCCGCTCGCCTGGAGAAGGCCAACAAGTACCAGGGCGTTAACCTCTACATCAAGAACCTCGATGACGACGTTGACGATGATAAGCTCCGCCAGATGTTCTCCGAGTTCGGTCCCATCACCTCCGCCAAGGTGATGCGCGAGACCCCTACTGAGGGCGATGAGGACAAGAAGGAGGAGACTCAGGATGACAAGGAGAAGGAGAACAAGGAGGAGTCCAAGGAGGAGTCCAAGGAGGAGTCCAAGGAAGAGCCTAAGGAGGAGACCAAGGAGGGTGAGGAGGCTAAAGATGATAAGAAGACTGAGAAGAAGTCGGACAAGAAGCTCGGTAAGAGCAAGGGCTTCGGATTCGTCTGCTTCAGCAACCCCGACGATGCTACCAAGGCTGTCGCTGAGATGAACCAGCGTATGATTAACAACAAACCCCTGTACGTCGCTCTGGCCCAGCGCAAGGATGTTCGAAAGAGCCAGCTTGAGGCTAGCATCCAAGCTCGCAACCAACTCCGTATGCAGCAGGCCGCCGCCGCCGCCGGTATGCCCCAGCAGTACATGCAACCCCCTGTTTACTTTGCTCCTGGCCAGCAGCCCGGCTTCATGCCTCAGGGTGGTCGTGGTGTTCCTTTCCCTCAGCCTGGTATGGGAATGCCCGGTGTTCAGGGTGGCCGTCCCGGTCAGTTCCCTGGTTACCCTCAGCAGGGTGGTCGTGGCGGTGTTCCTCAGCAGATGCCTCCCAACATGTACGGCATGCCTGGCCAGTTCCCTCCCCAGTTTGGCCAGCCCGGTACTCCTCAGTTCATGGCTGCTATGCAGGCTCAGCAAGCCGCTCTTGGTGGCCGTGGCGCTCCTCAGGGCGGTCGTGGTGGTCCTCAGAACATGCCCGGTGGTCCTCCCATGGCTGGCGGTATGGCTGGTTTCCCTCCTAACAACCGCCAGCAGGGTGGCCGAGGTGGACCTGGACGCAACGGCAACGCACCTCAAGGTGGTCGTGGTGCCGAGGGTGCCGGTCCCAATGTGCTCCAGCAGCAGCTTGCTGCCGCTCCTCCCGCTCAGCAGAAGCAGATCCTCGGTGAGCTGATCTTCCCCAAGATCCAAGCCATTAACGGTGAGCTTGCTGGCAAGATTACCGGTATGCTCCTAGAGATGGACAACGCCGAGCTTGTCAACCTGTAAGTTTATCCACTTTTCGCCAAACCATGATCAGCCGCTAACAATCATCACAGTATCGAGGACGATGCCGCTCTGAAGGCCAAGGTCGATGAGGCCCTGGCTGTCTATGACGAGTACGTCAAGGCTCAGGGCAGCGAGGGCGGTGAGCCCAAGAAGGAGGAGGAGACCAAGGCTTAAGCCATCTCCCAATTTCATCAAATTCTATTATTTTCCTTTTTTCATGGTTATCTGACTGGGCAACCCCCTCAAATGGAACGACGAATGCCTCTACAAGGCAATTTATGGAACAATCAGCAACGAAACATGCTTTACGACCTTGTGTTACCCAACCCGAGGGGGCGCATTATGTACAGATAGACTTGGTTGCTATTTCTTCTCAGGAAGGGAAACTCAAAAGTTTGGGGACTTTACGGTGGCTGGCTCTCGTCGCGAACCGTCGCTTGCTCACAGCAACGGCGTCGGCGCTTTCGGGGGAACCCACCAGGACGGCGTTGAAGGTTTTCTGACACACTGGCTGTTGGCCTATACCCCCCTACCAATGGTCCTCGTTTGCAGGCATGATCAACGCAGAGGTTTTATGCGGTTAGGGTTTCTAATGAAAGAGACATGTTTAAGTACTTATATGTGTGTGCCCTGCAATCGTGAGAAAGGAACATTCACTTGATGTGATGCCTTGTACATGCAAATCTTGTGAAAATGCTAATTTGTAAATCGAAACCAAGAGGTATAACTAGAGGCTATTCGTTATATGCAATGGACCATGTCAGTGTAGATATACCCAAACGCCCAAACTAAATTCCTGTTCTGTACCCACAAAGCAGGGAAAACCCAAAGTATGTTGGACAGTCATATGCCAACAGCATCACCCTGCCAGGGCAAGGGGTCTCCCCTCCTTTAGATTCAATGGTTCACAAGACAAGTCTGATAAGTGACTGCATTCCAAGGTTAAAAACAGAGACCGACTGGAGAAATCCAACATAGAATTTGGGGTCTCAAAGAACCCGTACATCCTTAGAGGGGATTTACGACAACAGTGCCAGGCCTGTCTTCAATTGCATACTTTTTGCTGGGGACGCTGCCAAATAGTGTCTCCATGACTTTGCCCTTCTGCTGTTTCCTAACATCACCGAGATAATCGCTCACATCGCTTAGACCACGGATTTGATCCTCCAAGGTGAGTGTTGTAGAGTTGACGCCGCGAACAAGAGGCGAGACGAGCTTGCTGCGGAGAGTTTCTAGCGATGCTTTTAGAGTCAAAAGTTTGCCGTTGTGCTCGACAAGAATGCCTTTATTGCGCACCGTCTTTTCCCGGACGTCACGTAATAGCAGACGATTCTGCTCAAATTTACGTAATTCGGCCGCTCTTGTACCAAGGAGCCGTGTCCAGAGGCTCGAAAGCATATCGGCATGAAGTTCTTCCTGGGCAGACGATTCGCGGACAACAGTGCGGGCGAGATTTAGGAAGTGATGGTCCACAGCTTCGAAAAGGGCGAATAGGGTGACGCTATGTTGTAGCTCAGCCTGGATGGAGTCTTCAAGGACGGAAAGAAATTCGGTGAAGAGGAGTTGCACCATGCGTTGCTCCCTCTGCGGATTTGAGAGGCCAAAGATGTGACTGGTCAAGCGGCCAAGGGTGGTAGGTGAGCCGGAGGCGTCCTCAAGGACGTGTGCTTGAGAGAGAAGGTTGTGGATGTTGTCGTAGGCTGAGGAGATAGTTGAAGGAGAAGGGGATGATTTGAGGCGGTTGAGGTGCATTTTGGCCCAATCCATGACGTTGAGGATGCTGTGAGATGTTAGAATAGTCGAGGTCGGCTCCAACCAATGACTTACCCATCGATATCACCATCGACTCTGGCAAAGAATTTGGTCATCTCTATGGCCAGTGTTTTCATGGTTTCACTGAGAGCATCTAGGTCTGCCACGATTCTAGGAGCGTCGCGCATGTCGCTTGTACGCACACTCTCGCCAAGATCCCAGACAGCAACACTGGTCGCCTGAAGATCATGCACTTGAGCGACAGCATGTTCAGAGTAATAGATGAGGGGTTCGAATGAGCGAGCGAGTCCTGCAACTTTCACAAGATCACCAACTGGACGTGGGGCAGCGGGCTGTAAGAGAGACTTGAAGATAGAGATAGAGAAGAAGGCAACGATGATGGTGGTGAAAGTTGTTGACCACGTTCTTGTAAGCGCTTTATAGTGATCACGGATGAAGTTGATGGCTGTCTCAATAGGTTCAGTGCGATGCTGAACTTCGGCACGGACAGCAAAACGGATATCTGACATGTATTAGATATGCATCTGGGATCTGGTCACAACGTCACCTACAGTTATCTGGTGTTGCTTCATGCAAGCCCAGCTCTCTTGAAGGACTTGTCTTGTCCTGGAGTTGGAACTGAATTGTAGGATCATCCATTTTCTCTGGGCTCATACTCCTGCCTTTGCCTGGACTCTGGCTCCCTTTAGGCAACTTCGTCCGAATGGCTCTCTCCAGGACACCGTCGTCCTCACTCTCATCCAATTCGGGGGAACTCTCCCTGAGCGTACTCATTCCTCGGTGCATAAAGTCCTGAGGAGCTCTCCAGAAACCACTACTCCGGTCTCCGTTTCCCAGCCTTCGCCACGCCGGTGGTGAGTACCCACCCGCGGAGGCGGTCTCCGAGTCCTCGAGATCCCCTTCTGTCATTGCTGCTTCGCTGCGGTGAACTGAGTGATGGGGCAGTGATGGACTTGGTGGGAGATCGAAGTCCTGTAGGCTGGCGTCTAGACCTTCGAGGGGATCCATTGTCAATGGATTTCTTTGATGGTGATGAATCCTGGTGAGATTCCCGACGACGACGATATTCTACTTCTTGAAACTCAAGTTGCTTTTGCTTCTCGAGGAGAAGCCGTTGTTGTTGTTGGAGGTAATGGCGGCGCTGCGCAAGGACAATATCCTGCCCAGAGATGACGAGTTGCTGTTGATCCTCGAATACAAGTCCGGTGGCGACATATGGTGGCTCTGGCAGAGCCTTTTCAGTTTTGGTCGGTTGTCTTTGACTGTCTGTTGGATCTCCAAGTATTGGCTGTAATATTGAAGCCAGCGATGGCAACGGTATGCCCAGATTAGGAAATCGGCAAGCCAAGAGACGGGGAATGTAGATAATGGCAAAGACAAGAAGGAGAGCAACAGTGATAAGATACGTGCTTGGAGCAATAGTGATGCTGACGAGCGAGACGTTGTTGTTGACCGTGAAGAAGGAAGTCATAGAGACGATAGCTGAGTGAATTACAGCTTTCTCTATCACTGATTTGACTTGACTTGGCTTGTCTTTGGATAAGATAATGAAAGGTGGGTTATGACAGAAACGGTTGTGAAGTTTAAGGTTAATAAGTATCGAGTGTTTGGTATGGATGGATGATTGGATGGATGGTTACTGTAGAGAGGAGATAGAAGGGGCAAATAGAAGCACAAGAACAATATTGCCAACTTCCTTGTGCAAGGGTAAGGTAATGTTTGAGTGCATAGAATGAAAGAAGGAAGGAAGGATGGGGTCGCAGGTTCCTTGACCGACTGAGCAGCCTGGGAATGTGGATGAGAAGGGGAAAGGAAGGATGAAAGTTCAAGAATAGGAAGGATGAAAGTTCAAGAATAGGAAGGATGAAAGTTCAAGAATAGGAAGGATGAAAGTTCAAGAATAGGAAGGAAGGAAGAGAGACATGAAACACAAGTGGTTATTCAATTACTACCTGACATTTACTAAGACGAGAATTGATGCACAGCACTAACAACTACAAACAACCACCCTTGCCTTAAACCGTCACTCACTCACTCACTCACTTTACATTGCTTTTATCCGTACTCACTCATTCATTCGCAACTTCCCCTCCAAAACCCAAAATCAACGAGGCTGGGCCCTCCTTCCCTCCCCTAGACAACGCATAACATCCAATCAAGCCCCGCCAACCGTGCAGAACAGGACCGTTTCTCGAACCCCCCGCACTAGTCTAGTTTCGGAAGCACTTAACGCGCCTGAAGCTTAACACGCGACGGTCACATGGTGCTTTTTTGTTTATTGACCCTGAGAGATAAGACTATTTATTCCCTTTATAAGGTGATCCACCACACGAAACTGAGACGTATTCACGGCTTTATAACGTGTCTGTTTTGGGGGCAAATTCCGTCATTCACAGGGCTCGCGACCGTGTTGTTTTTGGCCTGAGGACCAATAACACCGCAACTATGACTCGACGCTCACGCTCTTGATACGCTGGCAACGCTTTGTTGTTGATTGTGGGCCATTTGTTATAAAAGTGGACCTGGTCTGTTCTTTGGCCTTGATGTAGGCCAAGATGTGATGGCGGATGAAGCGGAAGAGATGAGGCGATGGTATCTACAATGATGAAAGGTCCAGGATCACTACAAAGATGCCTGATGCTCAGCTCATAATCTGCTATTCTCCTCAAAGTTCAGGCTGCAACGGTTTCTTGAATTTATATAACCATCAGGCATATGTCTGTAGTCTATCTACACCAATAACTACCGCCACCCTTTTCTTCTGATATACAATCATCTCATGCTCATACAAAGCTATGTTAGCCTATATATACAGCCACCATGTGATCCCGTCCAGCCCAGTTGTCCTTGCTCCTATGTCTACGCATAGTTTCCAGCATCATTCTCGACATTGGGATTCTTCTCTTCGATAGCCAACTCGCAGCACAGCCGTCCCAGAAACTCCATCCTTCTCATTGATGCTTTGAGCCTCATACCCCAGCCAATGCACTCGATTACTGGCTGGGCACACTGAGTGAACAGCTCAATCACCGTCTCCGTCGCCATAGGCTTCTGATCGTTAATGGCGTTCTGCAAGTTCAGGCCGTCTTCCACCTCTACCACCGAAGGCCTCTCTGTTCCCTTCCATGGGAGGGGAAATTCCTCACAGAGCATATCCACAGCCAAAGATTCCGCAAGCTTAGCATCCCAAGTCTCTGAACCCGTGAGATTTTTCCACGACTGGGCGAAACACACAGGAACACTGTTACTCCAGACTCGAGGGCCATTGTGGCGATTATGTACGTCGTACATGGCTGTGCCCTCTTCTATTAGACCCCACCATACAACGAGCTCGGTATCCGTATCATCAGCCCCGAGGAATAACACCCCATATATTGGGTTTTGTGTTGGTTTGTTGGCGAGCTTGCCCGCCACGATATATCGCTGAGATCCGGTATAAGCCGCACGCTGCTTGAGCTCACGGTCTTTGAGAGTCATATTGACCTTGAAGGGGAAGCTTCCTCGCAGCCGAGCATCTGGCTCGATAGAATCCGACTCAAGCAGAATTGTCTCCGTCTTGAACTCAGGTTTGTATTCAATGGAATATATTGCTTAAGGCGGTTAGTTCAATATTCACACGGAAACAACATTGCTGCTTTGGCTGTTACTCACCATTTCTATCACCACCGGTATCCAAATATCCTGACTTGTTCTGATCATGTTCTATCACCATGATCACGCTCGTAGGATCTCGTCGAAAAGCACCTTCAGCATAAGGACTCTCACTGAGAATTATAGCTGGTCTGGAAAGAGTATCCGGAGACAGACTGCAGTCGAGGACGGCTAACCATCGATCATTGGCTTCCTTGAGTTCCGTCTTGTCATGATTCCAACGCGTCAGTTTGCACGGACACTTCCACACGCGAAGGACCAGCCCTTGATCTGTCAACCTGACCCCAAATAAGCCGGAGTCTTCCTGTCCTGCATATGTGCGTAGGTTGAAATTGGCTGGGCTGTCAGCGAGGAAGTGCATTCGGTGCGTGTTCTCCTCAGGCTTTCGAGACAAGGGCCATCTCCAAACGAGTATGGACTGGTCCTGCGACTTTTTGAGGATTTCTTCCTGTAATCGCAGAAAGGCCCTAGAGCCCTCGCCATATAATATGGGCATGTTGACTCCAAAGATTCCCAGCAAAGAGTACGCTATGTCCTCAACTCGCGTCGTTTCCCTGTGGGCCATCCAGCCCATCCTCGTGGCCACGTTTTCACGCTGGAGCTTAATCGATATCCTGCGATCCTTCTTCCCTTCCGGCCTGAGCAAAAATGACTCATCGATGTCTGTAATATCCTTAATTGTCGAAGCCAAAGAATGTCGGTCGCCAACGGACGTCCAATTGTGATCGAAGAATTCCACCTCGTCAGGCGCGAGCAGCTCCTGTAGTGTCCATCCACGCGTGAACCAACGACTCTGCTTCAAACCAGACGTCAATCCAATGCCCACAGCGTGTAGGAAGACATCCGTGAGGTAGACATAGCATATATCCGCGTTGTTGTACCAGCGAAACATAGAGTTGATGGCTTCTGAGAGCTCAGCGCTGCTGGACTTGTCGATGCAGCAAGTATCTAGCCAGAGATAGTCGAGCCCGCGACTGAGAGCCTTTTCGCAGGACTGCACTATCTTGCGGTATCCAGCACCATTCTTCTTCCGAATCTCTTCCATGCGCGTGGGATCCTGTATGTCACCGAAAAGGACCTCATCTGTACCCCACGTATGAGACAGGATGGCGTATTTTTCGGACCCCTCTTCTAAGCTTACAAGCTGTAGCGTCTTGGTATTGAGAAGTCTCATAATTGCTTGCGAATCAGAAAGTGAGACAGAAAATAAAAATAAACAGATAGGTAAGATAGGTAAACATCAAGATCGTCAAGCCATAAAGATGTGATAATTGTGGTGGAGCACTTTCATGCTCTACTGTCTCGGGCTCTCAGTCTGTGTCAGTGTCCGTCCGTAGTAAGGGTCGTTTCAGTTCAGCCTCCTGCTGTTCTGTTCTGTTAGGTCAGGCTGGCTGTTGGTCCAGGCGAGACGCGAGAGAAGGCCTAGGCCCAGTTCAGGGCCATACGAGGCGAGGCTCAAGCGAGTTACAGGCTTAAATTCCCTAGGGTTGCGGGTTGAGAGACCAATGAAATGTGTCAGAATCCCTGTGGCGAATCTCGTATGAATAAGATACTGTAGTAAGCTGCCGTTGGTTCTGCTCTTTTTCTCTTCATTCATCCGAGGCATAATGAGAGGTTGGGCAGATGCAAAAAAAACACAAAAACGGTCAGATATTTCGAGTTAACGCGAGAAGGCGCTGGTTCAAAAGAGTGCAAGCTTCAATTCTATAAATGCATGTGTCGAGTCAGTCATAATTGGGCGTTGGGAATTAAGATAGACGTGCATTAATAGATATGACACGTGATGTCACTCGAGACAATGAAACCCAACGGTTCATGTAAGTACCTTATCTTACCTCGTAGTAAGATCCTATACCACAACTGTACCATAGACCAAATTGTGGTTTTAAACTCATAATCTGGGATTGATTCTACTGATAAAACTAATGAGCGGTCTCTACCCAATATGTCATGACCCTTTCGACTTCTGCTTCCGCTTCCGCTTCCAATCACCAAGTTTGCGCCAACTATGTTTCACAAAACCCGTTTCTAAGAATAAACTGTTAATCCTTGCGCCGTTTGAACCTAGCAAAACAAATCATGAAGCCTCGTAGAGCATTTCCGATGTGCCTCTCCATGAACGATCCATATTTTTGTAAGACGTGATTCTTCGATCAATCAATTTTGGCGTTGGCCAAACTTCGAGCTGCTGGGTTGCTGAGATTGTTCACAGGCTTGACGCCTCTATATTTGCCCTGCTTTCGCAGACGCTTTCGCGCCACCATCACAGGGACCGAGCTCTTCGTCACCAGATAGTTGGAAAATGACCCCAGAATGACACTGCCTGTTGTTAGCGCTGTCATAGTTTCGATAGTTGGAACATCGTTTGTTTAACATACCCCTTGAGCGCACTCCTGCCTCGACTTCCTATGACGACAAGAGTTGGGTTAACAAGGTCGATCACCTCTGTTATCAAGTGCTTTGGGTTCTTGCAATGCAGGACTTCCACAATAACTCTGACTTGAAGCGTCGTCTTTCGCAGAAGACGGAGCACTTTGTCCGTGATCTCCTTAACTGCTCGGCGTCGCTCTTCTTCCGCCCTGCCTCTTTCTCCTCGACTTGAAGGTGCGGGTGATGTATTTGGAGTGTTGTTCTTGGAGGAGTCTCCTCGTATAGAATTTCGCACAAAATCAGGGACAGCAGACATTGAGGGTGCAGCAGATCTTGAGTTTGCGACAGTGTTGATAGCAGCTGCTTGCTCTCTCATAGCCTTTGGGTCATCAGGAACCGAGTTGTCGACCCCTCCGATGCCGGTCTCCTCGTCCACGCAGTAGATGCACA